TTAATTTTATTTAGGGAATTTAGACATCTTCCATGGCTTGATAGGTAGTCAAGCCAACTTACACTCTTCACTCTTCTTTCACTCCTGCCCACTCTCCGTCCTTTCCTCCTTCTCCCTCTTTTATCTTTCATTTAATTAAAAAGAAAAGTATGAAATAGGTAAAAACTTACAAAAAGGCACAGAATAGTTATAAAGAACACCCCTGTATCATCATCCATCATTTGCCTTGCTTGCTTCAGATTCCTTTTCAAGAAAGAAAACATGACAGGTATCGTCCGTGCCACGTGTGTATCCCCATCTCTTTCCTCAGAGGTAATCACGATCCTGGAGTTCCATGTTTTTATGCCTGATACCATGTATATGTATTTGCATTCTGTTAATAACATTATACGGTAGTGGTTTGTAGTGTTCGTGTTGTATAAATGTACATATTGATCTGCAGCTTGTATTTTTCACTCAGCATTGTTCTTGGGATTTATCAGTATTGATACATGTGGCATCTGATTCATTTTAACTGCTGCATGGTATTCCCTTTTAATACCTAAATTTTATTTTATTTAAAAAATATTTTTTAATGTTTATTTTTGAGAGAGAGAGACAGAGTGTGAGTGGGGGAGGGGCAGAGAGAGACAGAATCCGAAGCAGGCTCCAGGCTCTGAGCTGTCAACATAGAGCCTTAAGTGGGGTTCAAACCCATGGACCAGGAAATCATGACCTGAGCTGAAGTTGGACGCTTAACTGACTGAGCCACCCAGGTACCTCTATACCTAAATTTTTAAAAATTCATTCATCTATGGCTTATTTTTTCACATTGTTTATGGTATCTTTTGGTGCCTAGTTTCTGCTTTTAAATGTTAGAGTCATTTTGCCAACGTGGTTTGGGCTTTTTATATTTTAAGGCCTTCCCCACCCTAAGTTCATAAGTACATTTTCTGCTATGTATCTGTAAGTTTCATTTTTTACTTTTAGCTCTGTAATCTACCAAGAACTTAAGTTTACATAGAGGTGTGAAATGGAAAATATTAAGTTTTCTTACATGAAGGACTAGTTTCAGCAACACTATTATTAAGTTTGCAGATTCTCATTAGTCTGTTCCATGTATTTTAGAATGTCCAAGCACAGAAAAGTAAAATGAAGTCCTGATCAAAGTTCCTGGATGAAATGAACTTTAAACGGTGCTCAGTTTGAATTGTCTGTGTGTGTTCTTCTTTTTAAACTCTGTAATGTCAGCCCACATCTGTGTGCAAGTCCACCAACACATCTTTGAAAGTGGGAATTTGTTTGTATGGACAATAGGTTGCCAATACTTACATTCATGAACACTGAGCATTTAATCTCAAACAACAATTAGTGTAGAAAGAGATCCTAATAATGAGATTGATTGTCCTATCACTTATGGATGGATTTAGCCAATGTTTCTCTTAGAGACCAAAATCTAAATCAGTTTAAACCAACCAGAGCTCAGACCACTAACAGCAACCACATAATAAGATGCGGGATTGCATTTGTGCCTGAATATGTAAAGGTCTAATATCCACGGTAAATGTGATGAAGTCCTTAAATTTAGGTCTGTGATCAACTGTGTTGCTCGTGGGTAAAACAGTCATGCAGTGCACACATGGATTTTCCTGAATTGTGTAGCTTTTAAAACAAGAAGAATAAGCCTGCCCCAAAGTTAAGACCTTTAAGTTGAAAAACCTGATGGAAAGAATCATTACCTATGCAAGTTTATATTCATTCAGGTGAGGAAGACCTAATCTAAAAACAACATGAACTACCAATTGATCTGTACCCTGCGGGGGAAAGATGACTGCTACTGGTGACAACAAGCCAGTGTTCCAGCTAAGGTTTTAGAGACTTGGTCTTTTGTACTTAGTGGCTGCCCAGCCAATTACTTGGTGTGGTGTTCTGGCCTCCTCTGCGTTTGGCACCATCTCCTATCCCACTCAAGGCCAGGTGAACTGACTCGCCTCTCTTTAGCGCTTCACATCCAAAGCAGTTAGCATCATGTTGACCAGATGTGGAATGCACAACCACCTTTGTGCAAAGCATGCTGTGAAAAAAAAAAGAGTGAATATTGTCCAAGGGCTATGGCTTAGTGCTTCTCAAACTTCTATGTGTAAAAAAAGTCCTGAGGCTTCCTGACTCACATGCCTAGCATCTGAATCAGTAGGTCTCAGAGGGTTGGGAGGCTGCATGCTTAACAAGCTCCCTGAGACCACACTGTGTCAGTGAAACCTGGTCATTCACCGTTCTGTCATGATTTTGGTTGTAGTCCAGTGCCATTGGTACCATGTGAATGCAATATTTCCTTTTACTTAAATTGATTTAGTTAGAAAAAAATCTATATGTCTATTGTAAAGGTAAAATCAATATCACTATAAATAGAAGGTACACATACATGTGCATTAAGATAAATATATGTGTGCCTATACTTGCGTATCTCTGTGTAGGTATAGATATACACATATACCTAAACATAGGTTATGACTTTTCCTTCAAGTGTTTCAATTTAAATGTCAGCTTTGGGGCAAGTTTGTGTGTGTGTGTGTGTGAGTGTGTGAGTGAGATATAAATAGATATTTATATTTCATCCACTGACATTACTTAATATAGTATATATTTTATCTACTTAACCTCTTTTGTTTCAGTTTTGCAAACACAGAAAAAATGGGATTGTAAGGAAGAAAGAAGCATTTCATCTCAAGCCTTCAGGAATTAGGTCTCAGTCTTGCACTGAAGAGTATAATGTTAGAAATCTCACATGGGGTGTGGCTGATGTGCTTTGAGAGGACAATGGTAGCTCTCTGCTTAGCAGAGGGTGGACCCCTCAACAGTAGAAACAGTTCTTGGAGAGCTAGCCAGGAAGCAGAAGGGAGGATGTATGCCTTTTCAAGAACTGGAAAACCCTTCAGTTTTGGCAGTAAACTTTTAAGGAAGGGAAGAGAAAGGCAATGGTGACATTTCTGAGAACTGGGAGGATGTGCTGTGTGCCAGGCACTGCGTAAGGTACTCTGCACATGACCTCTGATTGACTGTCCTTTACAGTGCTGTGATACGTGCATTATCGTGAACTCCACAGCACAGCTGTGGAAAGGAGCATGGGGAATTGGAGTCATTTGCCCAGGGTTTGGTAGCCACCCAGCTCCCCATAATCAGAGAAGGAGCAGATTGGCAAGAGTCTTCAGACTCTTATTTCCTTTCAGGCTGTATAAAAGATGGATTAATTCCCAAATTTTAAGTTTTTAAATGTACATTGAGTTAACTTGGCATTTTTCTGCTACATAATCCTGAGCATGCATCATCTTGTGGGCCTCATGGTAAACACAGAAACATTTCACCTCCTACGCCTTCCAGTTAAGATCTCTCGGTTTGTAAGTTTTCCTTACTGGTTGCGTAGAGGTTGCGTAGAGTCGCCTTTAAAGTGATAACCTTTAGTTATGGTGTGAACCTGAAGTAAGAAAGTAAAAAAGAAAAAAAAATGTCCCACTTGTTTTTGCTCATAATTACTTAATGGAAGAACCAGTTGTTAAGGTAACCCATGAGTTGCATCATGGAGACCTACCTGAGTATAGTGGTGAAGGGAAACCATGGGCCCATCTAAGGACTGGGAGTGTGGGAAAGCACACCCTCATGACCAAGCTGCTCTAGAGGAAGCTCATGAGTCAGGCTGGACAAATTCTTTCCTAGAACCTTTAGACAGATTTTATCAGAAGCATACATTAAGGATTATGCTTGGATATGATAATGGTTGTGATGATATGAACTTAATCTTGTGTATTTGGAGTTCTTTTTAAAGGAAAACCTCTCAGACTATGTTATGATTTCACAACAATCCCCAATAGAAGACAAATAACAAAAGAGCCCAGCCTCCTCTAAATTAAAGAGGTTTCTGATATTAAAGAAATTGATGCCTATAGAAGCACCAAGGAAAGACGGATTTTCCCTGAAGACTCTTTTTTTTTTCCCCTATTTAACAAATAAAAATGATGAAACTGGCTCTATATCTTTTTCTTTTTGGAAAACTGAAAACCCAGAACCCAATTTTTAGTCTCTTCAGCTCTTGGAATTCTGGCCTCAGAGCCCATGCATCAGTGTTATTTCTTCGTTAGCTTAGGTTTGCTGCCCTCACTTATCTTTTCCTTGGGCCCAATTAATTATTTTCTTACATTTGTTGTGAAGCTAGGTGGTCTATAACAGCAAGTAAATATACACAGGAGTAAATACAGAGAACTGTCTAAAAGTAGACATAAAAATAAGCATTCCATTTGAAATCTCAGTGTTATAAGTAATGCTGACTTGAGCAGAATGAGCAAATTTCTCTTTGGCAGCTTTAAACTTCAGTTTCTTCCTTTCTTGTGAGCCATTACAAAATTGTGTCTTGAAGTCCTTCTGTTGTACATCCTGTGGATTTGGGAATTTGTGGTCAAAGTTGCATTGGACAGACACACACACACACACACACACACACACACACACACACACATTCCCAGCATGAGATAGTTTTATCAATTGCATATCAACTAGTTTTATTTATTTTTATTTTTTTTAAATGTTTTATTTATTTCTGAGAGAGAGAGAGAGAGTGTGTGAGCAGGCGAGGGTCAGAGAGAGAGGGAGACACAGAATCCGAAACAGGCTCCAGGTTCTAAGCTGGCTGTCAGCACAGAGCCTGACGCGGGGCTCGAATCCATGATATGTGAGATCATGACCTGAGTTGAAGTCGGATGCTCAACCAACTGAGACACCCAGGCACCCTTCAAACAGTTTTAAATATGCGTTTCTATACTACTTAAAAGCGCTTATCAAAGGATTAGTAATTGTTATCTGAAATAACTTGCAAACATGCAGTTAGGATAATTTTAGTGCCTTTGGTTAGGAGTGGGTTTCCTGTGTTTTAAACTCAAGATGGTGAATGGTTTTAATTAATTTGTTTATTTCCAATAGAGAGTTCAGGTTTACATCTGAACCTAGAAACAAAGTATTTTTTCTCATTCCAGACAGAACTAAACTATACATCTCCCATCCTGAGCAAGGAACTGACGAAGGCCACAAAAACTTTGCTGGATAGTCTCGGGACTCTGGCCCAAGAGGTAAGTTGTGTCGTTCTAACACCAGAAGGCAGACCATTCACGATGGCTCTTTTCCACCCGAGTTTGGTGTGGAGGAGAGTCCTTTTGATTTGAATATTATGTGAAACATGAAACAATTTTAGAAGCATTGATGATCTTTAAAATTACCTGGTTTGAGCTCCTTACTTTAGAGATGAAGAAACCAAGATGCAGAGATGTTTCAAGAGCTAATTAGTTTCTGGCTAAAGGCCTGATACTTGGTCTAGAACTTTGTCCCATTGTTATTCTCTGCCCCTAGTTAACGACTCCTTGGTAAAGAGGCTCTTTCCCATCATCATCCATGCACTGTGTTTGTCTTGCCAAACATTTCTCCGTATTTTTTTTTCAGTAGCAAGGCCAGTCTTTTTATGAACTAAATGGAATACCGTGTACCCCTAATTCAGACCTTTCCCTGTAAACACCTGGCCTCTAAGATTCACCTTTGGGAATGTCTTTTCTTAATGAACATTAAGCTGAGTTTGCCTTTCTGGTCCGCATATTGACCATTGTGTTAGACCGATCTTCTATTCATAAGATCAGGCAGCCTGTAGGCGCTTGCAAAAGCAGTTATCTTTTCCTCTGCCTGGTGGCCGGTGTGAGCTTCACCTTGGTGGCGCCCAGCCTTGTTTCAGATTACACTTGGAGAAGGGGAGCTGTCTGGAACCCAGTGTGTAAGAGGCTGAGCCAGGGGTGGGGGAGGGGGGTTGCGGTCAGAAACAGGCTTGAATATCCAGGATATTGGATAGAAATAACCTTCACGAACTTGGTTCAGCCTTATGTTGAGTTGCTTCTCTAAATCGTTTTTTGGTATTTGTTAATTTTTTTTTCAAATATCAAAAATTAGTTTTCCGAGAATAAAAGTATTGTACGTTCATTGTGGAAAATGAAGGATGTTTGGGAAAACAGATCAAACACATGTCGATAATTTGACGTATTGCGTTTAGTTCAGTTTTCTTTTTTTCTTTGAATTTTGCTCATGGGCGTCTGACTGAAGAGGCTTGGGTTTTGGGTCCCTTTTTGGAGAAGTCCTTTCCAGCCCGCCATTTGTTCTTTTGGTTGTGAATACTGGTGACCTTTCTGTAGGTGGAGAATCTGGGTCGCCTGGGGTTCTTCCAGGAGGCAGAAGGAAAAACAGGAACTGACCTGCAAATTCATAGCTGTTTCTCTTCGATCCTGTTAGCAGACACTGACACACTGTACTACTTCCCTCCCAGCTTTCAAGCAAGCAGAGAAGAGACTGACGTGGCAGAGTGTCTCTAAATTTAGCGCTTGGGTAGTGTTTTCTCTTATATCACTGGTCTGCCTCTTGTCTGGGGTAAGAAAAAAATGGAAATCATGTGATGTCCCCATTGCTGATGAGGCAGAAGCTCTCCAACTGAGCAATATATTATTTTTCTTGGCAGCTGCCTCCTTGCGCCTGGCTTGCTCCCTGGTCCAGAGCAAGCAAGGACCACCCACTCCTCTCAGTGGCAACACGTTCAAGTCCCTGTGACCATGAGTTACTTACTGTCTAACTTGCTATTTCCCTGGGACAGATGGGAGAAGGTTAATACATAAATGCATGTGCGTATCTGTTCAGTGTTTGGAAAGGAAGTTGGATGCTTTGACCAAAGCGCAACCCTTGAAAGGAAAGGGGAGCTAATGATTTCTGAGGACCTCCCCTGATTCATGCAGTTTCACCCAATTTCCCTGTATCATTTGTGTGACACATGGGTCTTACTGTGCCCATTTTACAGATGGAACCAAGGCTCAGAAAAGTTGGACAACTTGCCCAGTCACCTGGTTAGTTGATTGGCAAAACCTGGGATTTGAACCCAGGACCGTTAGACTACAAACTGCATGTTCTTGCCTGCTTTTTGTGTGATGAGCTCTGATGGAAACTGGACTAGACTTCAAACTGGAAACTGGATACCCTTCAAAGAAGGAAATCTGGAATAATAGGGCCTGGCAATTGGGTAGAGATGGGGACTTGAGGATCTAGGTGAGTGAGAACAGGCATGAGCTCCACATCTGGGTGACAGGGAAGATGTGCCTGATGAGACTGGGAAGGCAGGACAGAGATTGGCAACCTAGTTACCTGTCAGCCCCTACCAGGTGCCTGACATTGCTCAATGTCAGGGTCTCAGCAGCGAGCCCGCTGGCTTTCTTGTTCTCATGGAGCTTGTGTGGTGGAAGATAGAAATAAACAGGCAGCATATGATGCAATAGCAGGCATACCACAAGGAAGAAAAATAAAGCAGAGTCAGAAAGTGTTGTTTTAAAGGTGTGTGTGTGTGTGGGGGGGAAGGTGGTGATTAGAGAAGTCCTCTCTGATGAGGTGACAGTTGAACCTGCAGAGATGACCATATGTTGTCCACTCCAAGGAAGAGGGGCCGCGGATAAAAAGGTACTGATGCAGGCTCTGATTAAGGAATGTATTTAAAGACCCAGGAAGGAGGATAGTGTGGTCAGAACACAGTGAGCAGGGCCCCCTGGGTGGCTCAGTCATGTTAAGCGTCTGACTTTGGCTCAGGTCATGATCTCACAGTTCTTGGGTTCGAGCCCATCCTCATCAGGCTCTGTGCTGAGAACTCAGAGCCTGGAACCTGCTTCAGATTCTGTGTTTTCCTCTGTCTCTGACCCTCCCCTCTCACACTGTCTGTCTGTCTCTCTCTCAGAAACAAATAAAACATGTAAAAAATTTAAAAAAAAAAAAAGCACAGTGAGCAGGTGAGAGAGTGCTCAGAGCTGAGGTCAGAAAAGGAGGGGTGAGCACCGCGCAGGACTGGTAAGGCTGGATTTATGTCGAGCGAGATGAGAAGGCAGTGGAGAGTTTGGAGCACAGAGTACATGACATGACCTAGAGTATGAGACTGTTGACATTCTGGCTATTACACTGAGAAGAGACTAGGCAGGGGTCTGAGAAGAAGGGGCCATTGCAGTGTCTTGGGAAAGCGATCAGACAGCCATTCATTCCCTCCAGAGCTGATTACCCAAAACCATCTTTCGTGGGCTGCGGGATGAATGGCCACCCTTCTCAGTGAACAGGAGTGCTTCACAGAGGAAGTGGAGCATGAGCTGAGGTGTAGAAGAATGAGTAGGAATTTGCCCCAAGACAGGTGCTGGGAAGAGCCACCAGTTTGTAATAACAGTCATTCTGGTGCCTCTGTCCAAAGATGTGCTGGTTTTATACGGGAAGAAATTTGTTCTTTCTGTTGGAGGATGGCGGCCTGGCGGTAGTGGGGCAGCCTGGGGAAAGAGACGTGAGTGGCTTTTACTTTCATTAAAAAGTCTCTAGTGTTGTTCACCCACCAACAAAAGAAAAGGTGGTTTGGCTGCCTCTGCCTTCCTGGTTGATGTACCTCATCCGGGTTATGAAAAGATAAAGTAAGGAAAAGCTGGCCAACTAACTGTGTTCTTATGGTATATGTCGGATGCTCCCTCTTTGGAGGGAGAAATGTTTGTGACCTCTGACCTGCCCCTGGAGTACCTGGTTTCCTTCCGGAGGCAGAAGGCATAGTCAGGATGTACAGCATCAAGGACCATGTTCCACAGAGGAACCATGTGACAGAAAACTGGACCCATGGTGTCGGAAGCTAGGCGTCCACAGGCAGAGCCCCTTAGCCTCTCCCCTCTGCCCTCCTATGTCTTGGTCTTCTGGGTACTGAGAACTTGTGGTGACATTTCAAGGAAGATTCATTACTGATTTATTGTGAAATGTGTAGAAATGCAAAGTGCTTGATAAATATTTAATTATAAGAACAATCGGGCAAGACCTCTGCAAGGTGCTGGAGAACATTTGTATAAGAGACAAAGCACTTGTCGGGTGTAAGTCACAGACATGGGCCCTGGCTGCTGGGGCGTCTCACTCCTCCTGTGCAGGGGCAGTTCTGTGCAGGGCCTTCTCTTCTGCTTCATTAACCCCTCTCCACTCTCTGTTTAGCTTCATCGTCTTGGTGAGAGGCTGGGCCCTCAGAGAAGGGACTTTTCTAAGCTGTGAGCTAATGAGACATGGAGCTGGGATTCAGCCTCGGGTCTCCCACCTTAGACTTCTTGTGTTCCCCGATGCTTAACTGAGTCCGGGATGGTGACTTGACACACAGTACCTTTTCTGCCAAGGGACAGAGGCCTCCTCCATTTCCACAGGGAAGTTTAAGGTGTTTTAGAAATGAGTCTGTGCTGGAGGGTATGAGCAGTTCCTGATGGATGTGTTTGAACACATGGCTGTTGAGAGAAAACATTCTCTCTTTTCCATAAACCAGAAGATAATCCAGAGGAAGTAAAGCCCATCACTAGGGGCTTCACTGACTTCTAGCTTGTGCTTCTCTATCTTTAATTTGCATAGAAGTCACCTGGTCATCTTGTGAAACTGCAGATTTGAATTGTAGTTGGATAGATCTAGATGTGCCTCTCAGATCAGACAGCCTCTCAGATAGCTCTGCTGCTGGACCCTGGACCACCAGCGGAGTCACAAGTTTCCGGCAACCCTATCACAAGGCTAAGAGGGCAGGATGTGAAATGTTCTGGGATATGGCTTTGGAGAGGTCAAGAAAATAACATGTGTCGGGGCGCCTAGGTGGCTTAGTCGGTTAAGCGTCGGCTTTCGCTTAGGTCATGATCTCACGGTTCATGGGTTCGAGCCCCGCGTCGGGCTCTGTGCTGACTGCCAGCTCAGAGCCTGGAGCCTGTTTCAGTCTGTGACTCCCTCTCTCTCTGACCCTCCCCTGCTCACGCTGTCTCTCTCTCTCCTAGAAATAAATAAAACATTAAAAAATTTAAAAAAAAAATAACATGTGTCTTTCTCTCTGTTCCCCCAACCCTTGCTACGCGGTTTTCTCCTTTCACCCTCTCCCCTCCCACTTCCCTCCCCGTCCCACCTTCCCTCCCACTTCCCTCCCCATCCCACCTTCCCTCCTACTTCCCTCCCCGACCTACCCTCTCCCCTCCCACTTCCCTCCCCATCCCACCTTCCCTCCCACTTCCTTCTCCATCCCACCCTCTCCCCTCCCACTTCCCTCCCCATCCCATCTTCCCTCCCACTTCCCTCCCCGTCCCTGGCACCAGCTATTCAGCATGAACAGCTGGAGTGACATGCGGCAGGAGGTGATGTTCCTGACCAATGTGAACAGCTCCAGCTCCTCCACCCAGATCTATCAGGCTGTGTCCCGCATTGTGTGTGGCCATCCCGAGGGTGGCGGCCTGAAGATCAAGTCCCTCAACTGGTACGAGGACAACAACTACAAGGCCCTTTTTGGAGGCAACGGCACTGAGGAAGATGCTGGCACCTTTTATGACAATTCTACAAGTGAGTGTCTGCAGATGGCAGTCCTGGCCTCAGGACCCCACTTAGTTCCAGACTCAGTCCTGTGTCCCTCCTCTCTCGTGCTTACCCTTATCCGCTGACCCAATGCTGGGTGTTTAGGAGTCTTTGACCATCAGACTGAGCTCCTAGAGGAGTCTTTTCCTTATCAGCTGACTGTTCCCACTTCTTTGAATGGGGCCTGGCACATCTCAGTTACATCATGTGTTTATCAAAATGCATGAGTGATTGAAAGCCAACCTCCCCAGTTTCCTGGTGGATGGAGGAGGGGAGTTCCCAGAGAAATCAAGGATCTTCTTTTTCTTCCTCCTTCCCTTCCCAGGCATGCTTTATAATCAATAAAAACTTTAGAATTACAGAACAACGACAGCCATAAAAGCTAACATTTAGGGAACATTTCCTGTGTACTGAGCATTCTGCTGAAGTTATCTCATTTAACCCTTACAGTAACACTGCAGGGAACGTTGTATAACCCCACAGTTTATAGGCTTAGAGAGGTTAAGTGACTTGATCAGAACCACACCAGAGGTAACCCCCCAAGAGCCCATGTTAAGTCCAGATCTACCTGGCCCCGTGTTTTTTTCTGGTAGATCACATGGCTTCTGAAAAAGCTGTTAATGGTGGTGTGTGTACCATCAGCCTCAGGCATTTGATCTGCTGTTTGTTTTTGCTTCTTAGCTGCCCGGAGGTGTTAAAGAACCTTGTAACTCCATATCCCTTTCTTGTACTTGGGCAGTTTTGTGGGGATATGTGTTCTGTGCCTGGTGGCAGCAAGGAGCCAGTGTTACAGTTTTAGACAATGACATCCTTTTCCTTGAAAACATGATGCAAGTGAGCCTTTCTCCACTTCCAGCCACAGGTGTTTCTTTCAGACACTGAGCAGAGGCAGCTTTTTGTGCATTACTGTAACACAAGAACCTTTTATTCTTTGGAGCAAAGCACTCCAGGCATTGCAGGTTGTTTGCAAGCCTGAAGGGGATGGCATTATAGGCAATTTTCTGAAATGCCATCCCCTCCACTCCCTCACTTGCAAGTCAACCCAAGGGAACTTTCATTTGCAAAGCAGATACAACTGTGAGCAAATCCTTTTTCTTTTTCTTTTTAAAATTATATTCTCTTCGCAGCATGTAGAGGATGCTTGGTGCCTAAAAAAACTCAGAATGAAATTAACAACAACAAAAACAATTCAAGAATCCTTCTGGATAATCAAGCCCTGCTGTCTATTATAACTTTGGATTTTCCAGTTAGGGGTTTTATTACATTTACTACATATACTTGTGATGGGACCTATTAAAGGGAAATGTCTTATTTTTGCTTGAAAAGTAAAAATCTAAATCCAGCTCTCTGTTTTCAATGAAAACAAATTGGCAAGGGCTGACAAATGAGTCTGCATCTAGAGTTATGCAGGTGTATGCATGGTGAAAGCGTGTTTCTAGATCATCTCAGTTGTGAGTTATCCACCATCAGTGTTATAAATGACTGATTATATGTCAAGCATTGTTGTAGGAAATTTACATATAACATTGTTAATGCTCCCCATATCTCTGCCAAGTACATAGTAACTTTATTTTTACAGAGGAGCAAACTGAAGCTCAGACAACTGAAGCTATTTGTTACAAAGCTGTTAAGAGGTAGAGCAGGGATTTGAACTCAGGACTGTCTGGCTAGCTCCAAAGCCCTTGTTCCTACAAGTATATGACCATGCATATGCATATCTGCCTTTGTCTTCATCATAGCCCCTTATTGCAATGATTTGATGAAGAATTTGGAGTCCAGTCCTCTTTCCCGCATCATATGGAAAGCTCTCAAGCCTCTGCTTGTTGGGAAGATCCTATATACACCTGACACTCCAGCCATAAGGCAGGTGATGGCCGAGGTAAGTTGCCCAGGCCCAGAAGTCCCTCTCCAGAATCCTCCGAGAATTTATAAGCAAAAGGGTGAAGGTGGCTTCAAATGGATTATATTGAGGAAACTTATGGCTCTTTTGCGGTTTCCAAAGAATAAGAACCTCAAGTGTGGCCCAGGCCAGAGCCGACTGGAGGGCTGGCTCTCCAGCCTTGGGTATTTGAATCATAGCTGCAGGCAGGTTCTTCTTGGGGTTGGGAAAGACTGGAGACAGTGATGGAGCATCTTGTCAGGGGGTGGCTGCATATCATGGTTCTTCTCCTTTTTTTCTGCTGCCCTGCTCCCTACCTGGCTCCAGGTGAATAAGACCTTTCAGGAACTGGCTGTGTTTCATGATCTGGAAGGCATGTGGGAAGAGCTGAGCCCCAAGATCTGGACCTTCATGGAGAGTAACCCAGAAATGGACCTTGTTCGGGTGAGTGTCCCTCTGGTTACTGTGTGCCTGCTTGATGCTAGAGAGGTGAGTTTCTGGTCACTTTCCCAGAGGTGACTGAGATGAGAATTCCTACATTTAGCCAATGAGAGGTATTAAGCATAGCTCAAGCTGCAGATGATGGTGCACAGATAACGATGTTTCATGCATATCAGCATCAATGTATCTGGTGGTCAAAAATTAGTTTTCTATAAAGCTTAGCGAGGGTTGGGATTGATGATTATAGGACCCTGACTTTTTCATTTCATCTAAAGCCAACCATGGCATCTTATTTAGCCTTCCTATATCTTGGTGTAGGTCTCGACAGAGGTGTGGGGGCAAGGGCCTGGTCTGACCTCTAGACTGGGCTGAGATGCTTGCTCCCAAGGTGCTCTTGGAGTGCAGAGCAGTGTTAAGGTGTTGAGGGGAATTGCCCTTAGTGCTCTGAGCCACTTGAAAGCGATAAGTGCTCCAGAGACAATTGGATTCAAAAGTGGAAGAGCTTGAGCAAGAACAGAATGTTTCCTTTGTTCGAGCCTGAGTGCCATTTAATCACATCATCCCTGTCTCGGGCTGAGTCAGAGAATCATTAGACTATTTCCTATCTCCACGGAGAGGGAGGCCTCTTTCTTTTGTTTCTGCTGCCATTAAGAAGCAGGAATGGATTTTACCAGGTTTTCTATCTTGACACCTCATTGATCAGAAGGGCAGCTCAGTTTTAGAGGCGGTACCTACCTGAAAGGTACTCTCCCTTGATACCCTGGATTTGGGGGAAAATACTCAGGGAGCCTTCCAGTGATGGGAAAGCTACAGTCATCTTTGTTGTCCTAGTGCTTTTATATATGCAGAATTCTTAAATTGGGGCCTTTAAAAACTAAGGGACTTTGGTAAGAAAAAAAATAATTTGTATGGATATATGGAATTATGGCTGACTCATAATAACAACTCATGCCCTTCAAGGATGGGTCTCTGTTGGGCTCCAGTAGTCTCTCCTCTGAAAGGGATTACATGATCCAGCCACTCACAGCCCCATAGTCCTGTCCTTGCCTCTTCCTGGTCCTGTTCTTTGTTGTAGGGACTCCATGAGCTTTAGTCTGTAGGCAGATGGATGCTTCCCCTACTTGATTGATTGACTTAATTTTTTTTTTAATGTTTATTTATTTTGAGAGAGAGAGACAAAGTACCAGCAGGTGAGGGGTAGAGAGAGAGGGAGACACAGAATCTGAAACAGGCTCCAGGCTCTGAGCTGTCAGCACAGAGCCGGATGCAGGGCTTGAACCCACGAGCAGTGAGATGACCTGAGCTGAAGTCGGTCGCTCAACCAATTGAGGCACCCAGGCGCCCCTGATTTAAAATTTTTTAAAGATTTTATTTAAAGTAATCTCTACGTGAAGCATGGAGCTTGAACTCACACCCCCATGATGAAGAATCCTGTGTTCTACCTACTGAGCCAGCCTGGCACCCCTGATTTAAAAATTTTTAATATGGGTCGCCTGGGTGGGTTAGTCGGTTAAGCGTCCGACTTTCGCTTAGGTCATGATCTTGCGGTTCGTAGGTTCGAGCCCCGCGTCGGGCTCTGTGCTGACTGCCAGCTCAGAGCCTGGAGCCTGTTTCGGAGTCTGTGACTCCCTCTCTCTCTGACCCTCCCCTGCTCACACACACTCTCTCTCTCTCTCTCTCCTAGAAATAAATAAAAAACATTAAAAAATTTTTTTTTTTAAATAAAAAATTTTAATATAAGTATAATAAGATGGAGACTTTGGCTTGGATGTTATAGCAACTCACAGACTCCCAGTTCTGAGAAAACAAAACACTTGTAAACATGGCATGGCATTTGTTAGGGATTCTGCTGGGAGAACACAGGATGTGTAATAGGAAATGTATGTAGGAACTGTGGATAGGGAGAGAGGCATGACATGTGGCTTGGAAGCCTTGTGTGTAAAGCCAAGAACTTTTACGTGAAGCTCTGAGGGATCATGAATGGGTTTTAAACAAGGAGAGATGTAGATACGTTAACCTGATATGGTAGGTTAATTGAAGTGTGGAAAGATGGAAGGCAGAGACCAGAGTGGAGACCATTTAAGTAGGTAGCCAAGGCATCAGCAGGAGGTGAAGCCTGACAACTGCTTGATTGTGGAGGGGGAAATATTTCTAGCTGATGGATGGTGGGGATGTCCAGTACGCCCATTGGTGCTGAGGCTTGGAGTGCAGAGGTGGTTAAGCTTGAGACACTGATTTAGGGACTCCTCAGCCTGTGGGTGGAAGTCGAAGGAACCTCCTCATCGCCTTTCTTCTCTCTCTTAAGGAGTGTTTGTCTAACTCCACAAACTTGGGCTACTCGGTCTTCTGTACCCACCTCGTGTCTGGTATGTGAGGTGGTGCCTGAGGCTTCTACTTCTTTTGGAATAGCTCTTGTCTTTTTTTCAGCTTTATTGAAGTATAATTGATAAATAAAAATTATATATATTTAGACTGTACAGCATGTTTTGATGTAGTATATGTTGTGAAATGATCCTCACAATCAAGCTAATTAACATATCCATCATCTCACAAAGTAACCACATAGCAAATTTCATATACAAAACAGTATTGTTAACCGTAGTCATCCTGCTGTGCCCCAGATATCTAGAACTTACTCAGATTGCATAACTGAAACTTTGTACCCTTTAACTTACCCATTTCCTTCACTTCTAGCCCCTGGAAACCACCATTCTACTTTGTGGTAGCTCTTACCTTGCTACTGTTTCCAGCTCTGTCTACATGCACTGTATCACATCCTGCCCCCAACCCCCCTCCCCCTCCCCCCCCCCAGATCTGGAGGCACTTCTGTGTTGAGTCGTAGAACCCACTGACACTAAACTGTTCTCCTTTCTGAGCTGCTCTTTGCCTCCTTTGTCTCAAGGCACTGCTCCCTCCCTCACTACTGCTCCCAAGATGATCTTATAGCTCTGGAGCACCTCAGGTTCCCTAGAACGGCCATGTGATGAGTGCTCTCACTGGGTACATCTTACTTGTCTTGCCACCTGAACCATGTTTCTCAGAAGCCACACAGAGCAGGGCGGCCTCACCCCAAATGCCGTGTGTCTTTATTCTGTTCTTACCTGTTCAAGTCTCCAAATAGTCATCTCAGAATTGGTAACATACCTCTGTGAACTTCTGTGAGGTAAAAACCTGTATCCATTATGTTAACGAAAATATTTACATATCTTACTGATGACAGTATTAAGTTGTTATTCCCTATAGGAAAGTAATTTGGAATGAAAATTGCAAAGAACCATAAAAAAGTGCTATCTTGTATATCTCCAATCCATACACCCTCAGGGATGGATCCTACGGAAATAATTTAAAGAAAGAAGTCACTGTATGAGAGGAAATGTTATTGTAGTAATAATTGTTATTGTGAGAAATTAGAAATAGGCTAAATTCTTAGCAGGGTGGGAATAGTTAATGAAATTATAGTATATATACTCCATAAAACCATTATGTTCCCATTAAAATAATAAATATGAAGCACATGGGGGAAAACTTAAATTGTTAGTGGAAATAAGAGTGATTTAAAAAGTAGCAGTGTTTGGCTCTGTAGAGATTCCACTTCAGAGGATCTAGAGTTTCCCTTTCCCTCACAAAGCTGTGATGGTAGTTGTACCACTTCTTTTCCATGAGCTGGATTTGGAGCTGACTCATCTTTCTGGCCACACTGTGCAGGCTTCTGCCCCAGGCCTCTGGATCTACTGGTTGAACACCAGATTGGTTTGTCCTTCTCTTCCGTGTTGATCTACATGGGAAACCAATCAGCTAGGGAATGAGAAATGGAAGACGGGTCTCTTTTGCATTGCCATCCATGCATCCTGCAGTTTTACTTGGTTTTACAGTGGCAGCGTCTCCCCAGACTAAATAGCACAAGTGGGTTTGTTTTATTCAGTCTAGAGATAAGGTCATTATGAAGAGTCAATAGCTTGAGTCTCAAAAGAGGAAGATGATATAATGCAGGGGGAAGATGCAGTAAAATCAGAGTCCATGTTTCATACCCTGACTTTGCCACCAAATGAGTTGTGTGAACTTAGATTAGGGACTTGAACTCTGGACCTGTTTTCTCATCTGTAAAAATGGGAACTTTTAAGACTGATCTTCCTCATGGAGTTGTATGAGGTAAAGCATACAAATCTAACAAAAACTGTACAGAGTAAGTATGATCATTGTTGTTACTGTAGTCGATCCTGTTAAGCTAGGCTGGAAACATAGGGGCACTAGGTTCAGACTAGTCTGACTTTTGAGTTTCATTCAGCTCCATGCCAGTTAGCATTGTGACTCAGCTGTGGTTAAAATCATAACTTTTTATTCCCTCTCCAACCTCTGTATTCTCACCTGTAACAGGGGAACACTATTACTACCTTACAGTTTTCTGTGAAGATAAAAAAAAAAAAGACAACATATGTGAAAAGGTTAGGTTTTGTAAATCCTGTAAGACCCAGTATCTAGATTTAGTTGGTGTTTATTTCTTGTACTTTCTCATTGAAACGGCAGACACTGTTGGACAGCAGAAGCAATGACCAGTTTTGGGAACAGAAATTGGATGGCTTAGGTTGGACCGCTAAAGACATCCTGGCATTTTTGGCCAAGCACCCAGAGGATGTCCAGTCTGCTAATGGCTCTGTGTATACCTGGAGAGAAGCCTTCAATGAGACCAACCAGGCAGTTCGGACCATCTCTCGTTTCATGGAGGTGAGGATCTGATCCATGGATCATTTAGAAAAGTCTTCAGCTTCTTTCTCTGAGATGGTGCTGTAAGGTTTGGATTGGAGGAAAGTTGAGAAATAATGTCTAGTCTTAGTTCCAGTAGTATCCCTCAAACCTAATACAGGACTTGGTGTATAAAAGGTACTCAATAAATGTTAGTTGAATGACTGAATGTGTGAATAAACAGACCTAACTCTAGCTTTATTCTGTTTTCCTCAAGAGGGTTTTTGTTCATGGTCTTCTATGTTTTCCCAAGTTTTTATATATAGCTCAAAACCCAATGACAATAAAGCATGCCCTTAAAAAGGCATTATTTATTCAATTTATCTAAAATCTAATAGGATAAATTTCATTTTAAAAAATCTAGTTTAAAAAAATTATGTGACTTAATAGGGACAAATAAGGTGTTTTTTGTGAGTGTGTGGTTTCTTGTGTTCTTGTTTGTTTATTTTCGGTCTTCTTACGTGGTTAGTTATGATTCAGAATTGCCAGGAAAACAGGAAAATGAGGTATGATCATGGTTTCAACCTCTTTCGTTCGACAAAATCAACGGAAGTAACTTACTCTAAGTGCTTCCAGCATTCTCTTAAATTACAGTTAAAAAACAAAAGGCTCTGTTCTCAACTGAATATTGGAAAATGACTTTGGAGAGGATGAGAGTGGGGATAAAAATGGCACGCAGTTAGCATGTCCCTCTTAGAACAGTGTCTTCCCTGGCCACCAGTGTTCTCACGAAGGCCGTTCTGCTCCCACCAGTGTGTCAACCTGAACAAGCTCGAACCCATAGCAACGGAAGTCCGGCTCATCAACAAGTCCATGGAGCTACTGGATGAGAGGAAGTTCTGGGCTGGGATCGTGTTCACCGGAATCACTCCTGGCAGTGTTGAGCTGCCCCATCATGTCAAGTACAAGATCCGAATGGACATTGATAATGTGGAGAGGACAAATAAAATCAAAGATGGGTGAGTTCAATCCTGCCACACCAGCCAGTTTTGGGGACATCAAGAGCAGCTATTTTGACTGGAGGCACTTCATTTTAACTAATAATGTGGTAGAAATTCCACCAAAAAATAACTCAGATTGGTGGCATGATTTTGGTAAAAGTGGCACATTCAACACTTAGAGACTGTTATTTCAGAGGTCATAAAATAATCATCTTTTGATTCAGCACCTATGCTCAAGATAATTAATCCCACAGCATTAAATCAACAGGAAAACAAAGAAAAGAAAAGGCTCTAGGTTCGCTGGGCTAGCATTATCCATTTTTACAAAAAAGGGCAAATAACCAGTATAAATGGGAATGATTAAGCAAAATTTGGTATGTCCACTTGATGCAATGTAAGGTAGCAGAGGAAGGGGGAGAAAACCAAACCAGCAGGTTGGGATGACCACACTGATTATATCTGTTTAAAAATGTGTGCACATGTTTGCTGAGACCAGAAAATAAGATGCAGAAATGAAAATAGTGGCTTTGTAATGGTGGCAGGATTGTGAGTGATAGGCTTTAAAAAGTTTTTTCAATTTATTTAAACAATGGTTATATATTGTTTTGAGAGCATGAGTGGGGTAGGGGCAGAGAGGGAGAGAGAGAACAATCCCAAGCAGGCTCCATGCTGTCAGTGCAGAGCTAAACACAGAGATCGAACTCACAAACCGTGAAATCATGACCCGAGCCGACATCAAGTTGTACACTTAACTGACTAAGCTACTCCTGGCTTTTTTTGGTGTATGATTCTAATGAATATTTGATCACCTGTGGTTTGGTTTTAGGTACTGGGACCCGGGTCCTCGGGCTGACCCCTTTGAGGATATGCGGTACGTTTGGGGAGGCTTTGCCTACTTGCAAGATGTGGTGGAACAGGCGATCATCAGGGTGCTAACCGGCACTGAGAAGAAAACTGGTGTTTATGTGCAACAGATGCCCTACCCCTGTTATGTCGATGATATGTAAGTTACCGCTAAGCCACCATCTTCTCGTAACTGGTTAACTCTGTCCCCAGAGGGAGTACATACACACGTGTACATACATACATACATGCATACACAAGCATGTGCATACATACCAAAGGAGATAGAATGCTTTGGTTTTATTTATTTTAGATGTGTGTTAATATTGGTCAAGAACATCTTTTTTGAAATTCAGTGAAGATTTTAGGAGATAAGATGCTAGATGTAGGTAGTTGACCATTCTATCCATGTTACTGACATGCATGTGCACATAGTGGTCATCTCCCCCCCGCCCCTTTTTTAAATGTTTATTTTGAGAGAGAGGAGGGGTAAAGAGGGAGAGAGAGAATCCCAAGTAGGCTCCATGGTGTAGCACAGAGCTTGACATGTGGCCTGATCTCATGAACCCGTGAGACCATGACCTGAGCTGAAATCCAGAGTCAGACGCCTCACTGACTGAGGCACCCAGGTGTTCCTCCTTCTTTTTTTTATCCATAGTTACCAGCACTTATATATATATTGTTTTAATATTTAAAAAAATTTTTTTAAAGTTTATTTTTGAGAGAGAGAGACAGAGTGCAAGTGAGGGAGGGGCAGAGAGAGAGGGAGACACAGAATCTGAAACAGGTTCCAGACTTCAGGCTCCAAGCTGTCAGCACAGAGCCTGATGCAGGGCTCAAACCCATGAATCATGTGTGAGATCACGACCTGAGCTGAAGTCAGATGCTTAACCATCTGAGCCATCCACGTGCCCCAGTACTTACATTTTTTACGCCCTTCCCTTTTTGGTCAAAGTTTGCTCAAACTGCAAATTTAAAGTGTTGCAACAAACACATGCAAGCACATCCACACAGATACACATTCCCCAAACACAGGAACAGCAATCTGGACCCATAAAAACTGACTCCATGTCAGTTTATCCACTTTCTCTTTATAAGTGGTAAATCACATTTTTAAACAATCCAAATAAGACTGAACAAGGCCTTTTTTATCTTAGACTTTAGATAATCTTTCAGTACTTAGTCACTAAGCTGCCAAGATCTCATGGGAACTGTGCCTTTGGATCTAATGATTTCTTGTAAGAAAGAACAGGCAGAGGTGTAGTTATTGCAGGCATCTAAGATATGTAACGTTTCTTCCAAATTCTGGAAATTCTCTTATTCTCTGTTGTATGTGTGTAGCGATCAAGAGTGCTGAAGAAGCAGGGAGCCTCTTCGTACTTTGCTCTCTGCTTTGCATTGAGCAGTGATTTCCCTGCATGACTCACTCTAGCTTTTCCAAGTCACCCTGAATTATCTTGTATTTTACCTTCAGAAAGATTAGCCAGAGTTTCCCAAAGACCCCCACCCCACCCTCTAACCCCACCCCTGCCCCCAGCCAACCCCTCAGCTGAGATTGACTCTAGGAAGGACCTCTTAAGATGAGGACAGGTTGGGAGCTTTGCAGCATTAAGGGCCTTTGCCTGTTGTCACATAGGTATGTGCATAAATAGTCAAGCAGGGCCTTGAGCCTGGAGTTCCAGCGTCCAAAGTCTGTGTCCCTTTAACATCACAGTACCGCATTTCTTATTCTAGTTTGGAATTTGAAATATTACTGACAAGAGCTGCCTAGAATCTGTTTCTACGTTATCTGTGGTAAAAGTTGTGCAAGTCAAAAGTGAGATGACCTTGGAGATGTTGAACTTCCGTGAGAGAAGGAGTTGGGTTTTTTTGTACTTTAAAGTAATGTGCACCTCGTAGTTACCTCGTGGCTAAAGCAGGCCCTACAGAAATTCCACTTGGCAGCACTCCATTGGTCTGACTGTCAGTATGTTGCGCTCCTTATGAAGCATTTGATAACCTATACATTTCACAGTCTGGAGGTCCTGCCCCTCATGGGCTCCATCTTGGGGGTTCCTCTTGCACACAAGCTTGAGGGCACTGGCCTCTGAGCCCAATTCTCACTCCCTCTATTTCTCCTCCCTTTCCTGGGGCCTGCAGCTTCCTGCGGGTGATGAGCCGGTCGATGCCTCTGTTCATGACGCTGGCCTGGATCTACTCTGTGGCTGTGATCATCAAGGGCATTGTATATGAGAAAGAGGCGAGGCTGAAGGAAACCATGCGCATCATGGGCCTGGACAACGGCATCCTCTGGTTCAGCTGGTTCATCAGCAGCCTCATTCCTCTGCTCGTGAGCGCCAGCCTGCTGGTGGTCATCCTGAAAGTAAGGCTGCCACGCCAGCTCCCTGCTGTCAGGGAGCTTCTACACAGCCCAACACCTGCTGTGTGAGAAGTAAAGCAAAGAGTATTTGGGAGGGAAGGAGTCATACATGTCATCTTTTGAAATTTTCTCATTTTACATTTGGGAAGAGTGAGGCCCAGAGAGGGGCAGTGACTTGCCCAGGGGTCAGCCCAGCTGGCTGGTGGCTGAGCAGGACTAGAACCCAGGGCTTTTGCTTCCCAGGTAGGCACACACTTAACTATGCCGTGACATCTGGTTGGCAGATGTCAGTGGTCCATGACAGCATCTGATTGCTGTTCATTTCCTTAGATGTATTGGGTAGTGATTCTGCCAGAATTTATAAAAGCCATAATCTGAGAGATCCGTATTATTGCAGGTTAGGTTTTTCTGGAAGCAGAGCCTGAGACAGAGTTTGGTGCGTTTATTGGTATTTATTAGGGATCAGCATCTATGGGACAGATGGGGAGTATGCAGGATTGAGCAGACGGAGGAGGTATGAAATGCAGTGCAGGGCCAGCCCCACGGTCGCTCTGGAGCTTACACAGCTTGCTGGAATTGTCCTTCATTGAGCTGAAATACCCAGTCCCAAGGCCTCCCTCCCTGATACCCCATACCCCAGTCCCCTCAGTCAGTCATTGGAATGATATCCCCCAGGGCCAGGCAGTTTTGTGGCTGTGACAGACCCAGAGGAGTTGATACCTAGTTGACAGCTGTCTTCTGTGACCGCCAGGCAACAGTCCTCCAAGGGGACTCTGGGCAGTGCTATTCTGTGCCCACCGCATATATTAATAGGTTTATATACCAATTTTCTTTCCTTACAACCATTTGTTTTAAGGTTGCATCATGTTAAAAATAAATATTTTCAAAGTGAGGGGAGTGCAAAGGGATAGGAGCTAACATTTAGTTGAATACTAGCTACTGTTAGTTACAAAGAGCACTTACTGATTGCCAAGCACTGTCTAGAGCACATCACCTGTGCTTTCTTCTTGTAGCTTCACTAACCCAGTTAACATCTCAGCAAATGAGGTCAAGGAAAATGAAGGGCCTCACTGAGGTCACCCAATAGTGACCTTGCTAAAATCAACCCCTTCTCATGCTCTGACATCTGACTGCAGGGGTGGAGCTCCATGGTGGGAGGCAGTGGTCCTGTGGCTGGTGGGCAAGAACTGTTCTGGGGCCACGCGCTGGCCAGCCCTACGCAGACATACCCAGATGAACTGGGCCAGGAGAGGCTTGAAAGGCCCACAAAGGTTTGGATGGTTGTGGGAACGCAGAACCCATAGTAGGTTACCAAGGAGGGGATAAGCAGATTTCCTGGCCATTTTCCATTGCTTTTGGAAGGGGAAGTCCTAGAGTGCTGTCTCCCACAACTCTTTCTTCATGCTGAGAGAGTGTCATAGTTCTTAGGAAGGGAGAAACCAGGTAGTGGTATTTCTTTGAGAAAAAAGAACACAATTGTCCATTGGGATGGAGCTAACTGAATCTCAGCCCTGGACTCTTCTGTTCCTGCCTCTGCTATTACTTTGCTGTGTGGTCTTGGGCCAGTCACTGTCCTTCTATTCGGCCTCAATTTCTTCATCAAAACAATGGGAAGAACTGTTTCCCTATATTCTCTCTGAGATGAGTGTGAGTAAGCCCTGGCTTCTTCCCATAGATGGTGCAAGGATGTGCTTGCTTTCTGGGGCGACACATTTAACAGGTCTCTTCTTTCCCAGTTAGGAAACCTGCTGCCCTACAGCGACCCCAGCGTGGTGTTTGTCTTTCTGTCTGTGTTTGCCGTGGTCACCATCCTGCAGTGCTTCCTGATCAGCACACTCTTCTCCAGAGCCAACCTGGCGGCAGCCTGCGGGGGCATCATCTACTTCATTCTTTACCTGCCCTACGTCCTGTGCGTGGCGTGGCAAGACTATGTGGGCTTCACGCTCAAGATCTTCGTGGTGAGCAGCCGCCCGTGGGCAGTGGCTGTGGGCACAGCCCCTGGTGTTTGTAGTTGAGGCTGAGAAAAGGAGAGGAGTGTGTGCGTATCTGGGGGTGGGGTGTTTGTGTGTGTGTGCACGCGCACGCGTGCAAGATTGCTGAGCCTTTGGAGCATCTTTGGAAGCATAAAATTTAAAAGTGTTACGCTCCATCATGCGTGCATTTCTGAAATGTGTGTGCATAATGAGCACTTATAAATAGAATCCTTTTATATGCTGTTAGTGAGCCTACTACCCTCAAGGGATCTGAAGGTGAATACTTCCATATCTTGTAATTGATCCATTCTGCAAATTCAAATTTCTTTGAGTGGAGTTTACATTAGAAATGATAGAAAATGAAAGACAAGGAGATGGATACGTGACTTTTGCCTCCTTCCCACAGAGCCTGCTGTCTCCTGTGGCTTTTGGGTTTGGCTGTGAGTACTTTGCCCTTTTTGAGGAGCAGGGCATTGGGGTGCAGTGGGACAACCTGTTTGAGAGCCCCACGGAGGAAGATGGCTTCAACCTCACCACGTCAGTCTCCATGATGCTGTTCGACACCTTTATCTATGGAGTGATGACGTGGTACATTGAGGCTGTCTTTCCAGGTACACGGAGCTTCCACACTGTGTGAGCCATCTGCTAGGGAAATGTCATTTCTAGCTGCAGAGCTCTCCCGTGTTTGTGTTGGAATTTCTGCAGAGCCCGGGGCTCCCTGAAATGTAGCTAGGGCTTTAGACCCAAGGCAAACAATCCAAGGAAAAGCAGCTGATGCTAAAAGTATAACTCTTACTACTGACGTAGCTCTCATTTCTCAAGCACTGTGCACCAGGTGCTGTGTAAGGTGTTATATATACTTCGGAATTTACTCATACACATTTTTTTGCAAATGAGAGAACTATGAGTCAAAGAAGTAACTTGCCTGTGGACACACAGCTGGTAAATGTTGGTGCTTAGAGGCGAACCCAGTTGGGTAACACTGGGTCAGCTGGTCCAGGAGATTCCTGCTTCCAGTGCTGGCCCAGTTCTCTGATTCTGTATCCCCAGAATTCCCACCAGGAGATGTTCAGTTGCCTGAGTACTGCTTGTGAATAAATAGTAAGAGATGTTGGCTCTAAGCCCTGTGATTCAATCAAATTAGCATTCATAAAATTCAATTTGGTACTTCCCTTAATAAATCTCCTTGACCAAGACCTTGGATTCATTTTTATGTAGATCACAGTCTGAGAGAGTAAGGTTTAACAGATTCTGGGTCACCTGATGTTCCTAAAAGGGAGTGTATGTGAAACATATGTGCGTGAAACATATGTGCGTGAAACATATGTATGTGACCTCTATCTGAGCTTCCTGCACAGGAGATGCAATTTTGTGTCATACAGATCTGGATTCAGATTCTGATTTCTTCACTTACTGGCTGAGTGACCTTGGGTAGGCTATTCAGTGTCCTCATCTGTAAAATGGGGCTGATAACCTGCCTCATGGGGTTGTTTGAGGATTCAGAGAGGTATAGAATGTATATTTAATAGGTCTCAGCAAGTGTTAGATCCCCCTACCGCCATCTCTATCCCAGTCTGTCCCATCTCCAGAGGCTGTGTCAAGGAGGGAGTAGTTCTGGCTGGGATACCTCGGGAATGCTAGCATGTTGCCAATCTTGTCTTACATCTTGGTTTTTATCTTTGCTTTCAGGCCAGTATGGAATACCCAGGCCCTGGTATTTTCCTTGCACCAAATCCTACTGGTTTGGTGAGGAAAGTGATGAGAAGAGCCACCCTGGTTCCAGCCAGAAGGGAATATCAGAAAGTAAGTGCTGCTGACCTGCCTGTGCGTCTTGCGTGACAATCCCCCGCCCACCCCCCTCCCCTCCGGCAGTGATGGTCAGGGGCAAAGGATGGCTTTTCCCCTTAGAGAACATAAAACCACTCTAGGGGGAGAGAAATCACATGCAGTGCATCTCTCCAAATTCTCCCATGCAAGTTGTGTCCAGTGCTTTTGTTGACTTATCGGGGAGTTGCTATCTGGGTCCTTGAGGGACATTGTCTTTGTTTTCTTGGCTTCTAAGAAGGAAGCCCTTGATCTCTATACTTACACACATATACCTTCTTCCAACACATATTCTTTACAATACATTAATAGCTAGGAGGAAGAGGTAAGGACAACTGTGATTGTGGAACCATAAGTTCACTGTCTGCCTTGTCATCGTGATAGATATATGAACCTGTGTAGGCTGACACCAAGTGGCTGCCAGAGCTCAGCCTGTGCTTCTTGATATTCTTACCCTTCATTACCCAGAGCTCTAATCCTCTCCTGGCTTGTAACTGTTGACGAAGGTGCCCACAATTTAGCAAAGGCTTTGCCTTCTGAGCTGTTGGCTTGGGTTCTTGGAGAGAAACTATCTTTGTGTTCAATGTGGCTTCCTAAGTACTTAATAAGTCCCTTTTCTGCCGATGTCTTCGGTGCCTTCGCCTAGTTACCAGTGGAAAAGTCTGACGTTCCTTAGCAGGCATAGCAGACAACTTACAACTGGCCTTGCCCACTATCCCAGCCTTTTCTCCTGCTGTTTCTACTCTGCTGGCCCAGACTCCTGTTTACACCTAATTCTGAATCACCTAGAACTGCTCACCGTTGCCAGGACATGTCATGCTCTCCCACATCTCTGTGCCTTTGTACATGCTGTGTCCTCTCATGGAAGATCCCTTTCTCTAACTTGCCTGCCCTCTAAATTACTACTCCTTCCTCAAGACACAGTTCTGTACCCCTTCCCCTGAGCAGTTCTTCTAGATTTCTAGGTGGTCAGTCACTTCCTCTTCTGAGATTGCATAGCTCTGACAAACGGAAAGCCTTTTAATTTAAAATAATTACTGACTCATGGAAGTTGCAAAAAATAGTATGGGGGGGGGGGATGGTTCCCTTGTGCCTTTCATTCAGTTTCCCCCAGTGGTAACCCCTTACATAACTTTAGGACAGTATCAAATGCAGGAAATTGACATTGATACAACTCATAGATCTTCTTCAGACTGGACCAGTTTTACATGGACACATTCGTGTGTGTGTGTGTATTTAGTTCTGCGCACTTTGTCACATGCAGATCCACGTAATTACTAGCTCAGTCGAGATGCAGAACTGCCCGATCAACACAGACCCCCTTATTCTGCCCTTTGAAAGCCGTAGGCACCTCCTTTTTCCCTCGGTCCCTGACACCTGCCAGCCACTGATCTGTTCTCCACTTGTATGTTTTATTATTTCTAGAATGTGATCTAAATGGAACCACATAGTATGTAACATTTCAAGATTGACTTTTTGTCACTCAGCAGAATTCCCCTGAGATCCATCCAAGTTGTGATGTGTATCAATAGTTCCTTTTTATTCCTGAGTAGTGTTGCATGGGCTGGCTATTCCTCAGTTCCATGGCATTTTTTGATATATGTTTTTTTAAACAAATTTTAGGCTTCTATTTTCTTAGTGTATTTTTTGTGTATGTGTTTGTTTATTTTGTGAGAGGTGTATGTGTGCATGAGCGGGGGGAAGGGCAGAGGGAGAGGGAAAGGGAGAGAAAGAATCTCAAGCAGGCCCCACACTGATGCAGGAGCTCAATGTAGGACTCAGTCCCGTGAATCATGAGTTCATCACCTGAGTGGAAATGCAGAGTTAGATAGTTAACCAGCTGAGCTACCTAGGCACCCCTAGCCTCATATATTTTAAGTGCTTGTCAAATCTTTTTCTCCCAAAGACCGTGAGTGCTCCTTTATCAATGAATTTGCATCACCACTACTGCCCAAATAGACCCTAAATAAATGTTAGTCGTCTGCTTGCCTGAGAAACCAGAAGTATCCATGGAGAGAGGACGGTTCTGAAAGTACGGTCAGAGCCCCTGTGTCTTTGTGCTCCACTTGTCAGTACTTGCTGTGAGTTCATTCCCGTCTTCTGCCTTCTGACAGTTTGCATGGAGGAGGAGCCCACACACCTGAAGCTGGGCGTGTCCATTCAGAACCTGATGAAGGTTTACCGAGACGGCATGAAGGTGGCTGTTGATGGCCTGGCCTTGAATTTCTATGAGGGCCAGATTACCTCCTTTCTGGGCCACAATGGAGCTGGGAAGACCACCACCATGTAAGAAGCGGGTGTGGCTCTAAGAAGCCACAAGAAGGTTCCATAGTGCAGTCAGAAACCCATATGTAAGGACATTGCACTGGTCACTGAGGCAGAGGCAGAGCACATGAGGCGCTGATGAATGTAGGATATTATCTAATCACAAGAGTGATTTTTTGGCGCTGGTTTTTGCTAGATGTTATTTCTTAAGTCTAAAACTGCCTAGGAGCCTCTTGATGACCTTTCTCATGGAGTTCTCAGAGTTCTGTACTGTTCCTGGAACATGAGGCTGTGATAGCCAGTTTGGTTAGAACTCTGAAGCAAGAATGTGGGAAGAAAGATTTGATATGTTGGAGAGAAGTAGTGATTTCCAGGAGCTCTGTCGCTCAGGAGGTATGAAATACGGCCAGACAGCTGGCCATATGACTGCCCTCTCTGGGACGTATAGGGACCTATAAAGACCTTACAGTGGGCAGTCTCAGAAGGGAGCACGAGCCATAAACACCAGAGTTAGCCTCAGTGACTTTCAGTGTGGTCCCTCATCTGTTGCAAAGGGTATGCCTTTGGGGATAATGACCTTTTCTTGTTCTTTTTTTTCTTTTTCCTTTCCTTCTTCTTCTTCTTCTTCTTCTTCTTCTTCTTCTTCTTCTTCTTCTTTTGTTAATGCAAAATCAATATATGAACATTGCAGATAATATTTATTTTTGGTTTTTAGGTTTTGTTTTTTTTTTTTAATTTTGAGAGAGAGAGAGATAGAGCACAAGCAGGAGAGGGACAGAGAGAGAGGTTTTTGGTTTTTTAGTCTTTTTTTAATGTTTGAGAGAGAGAGGGAGACCCACAATCCGAAGCAGGCTCCAGGCTCCAGGCTGTCAGCACAGAGCCCAGTGCAGGGCTCTAACTCATGAGCTGTGAGATCATGACCTGAGCTGAAGTGTGACGCTTAACCAACTGACTGAGCCACCCTTTTAAAAAGCACACAAAAGCCCTACTGCCTAACACAAAAATGATTTTTATCTTTGAATAACTTGTTCTGGTTTTTCCGTTTTTCATGGATATGATTTTAGACTTACAAAGTGCGTGATTCAAACAGTACTTCCTTGTTTTTAAATTTTTAAAAGTTTATTATACTGAGAGAAGGCGCATGTGCTTACAAGTGAGGGAGGGGCAGAGGGAAGGAGAGACAGAATCCTGAGCAGGCTCTGCATCGGCAGCACAGAGCCCAATGTGGGTCTTGAATTCATGAATTGTGAGATCATGACCTGAGCTGAGATCAGGAGTCGGACGCTTAAAGGACATCGTCACCCAGGCACCCCTCCAACTGTACTTTTCATTGCAAATTGGAATCTTTGTTGAAAAACACTTCTCTTGATACTGCTCTTTCCAACACATAGGCGCACTCCTAGTTATTCACTAAGGCAAAGACTTCTTTGTTTTGTGGGAGTCCGTTAGGGTCTGTTAGGAAGGAATGGGGGTGTGGGACGGTTGTTACCCCTGCCATAGCTGTCCTGACTGCAGCCTGGCGTGGAGCATTTCAGAGGAGAGGGATTAACACTGACTCTTGTACTTGGGAATTTGTGTCCTCAGGTCAATCCTGACTGGGTTGTTTCCTCCCACCTCGGGCACTGCCTACATCCTGGGGAAAGACATTCGCTTTGAGATGAGCACCATCCGGCAGAACCTGGGGGTCTGCCCCCAGCACAACGTGCTATTTGACATGTGAGTACCAGCAGCACTGTGAGAAGCAGGCCCTCTCTGGATGTGTGTGCCCTGAGTCATGGGCAGACTGGGACTTAAGCATTTTACCTTCTGTGGGGGTAACCATGCAGGGAGGTGAGACCCGATTGTCCGTTGTTTTAGGAAAATCAGGAGGTGATTGTTGGGCCGGAGAGGTCCCATCAGTCTGGCTGGTGGTTGAGGGCTTGGGAAGTAGTTCGCTCCATTGCTGACATTTTAGAGGGCCAATTAGCCCATCTCCTCTCCCTCCTCATGCTTCCCTGATGCCAGCAGCGGCTCTACTGCCCAGAACCTGGCAGTGCCTCAAGGCCTTTGTCACGATGGCCCAACATTTCCTGCTCTGCTGTAGCAGAGAAAGACCTGAGCTCTGTGACTTTGGGCAAGGACTTCTCCCCTTCTGGGCCCCAATTTCCTCTTACCTAAAGTGAGTGGCTCAGGCTTGTGTCCTCCACAGGGACCTCCCTTCTTGTGTAGTCTGAGGTCCTTTGATGTTTAGAAGGGCTGTTCCAGGTAATTGCTGAGCCAGTTTCTTGGTTGATGGGGCTGTAGGGTGGGCCCTTTGAGGTCCTGAGATTGAAAGTTGCAATTGCCTGCTGTGTGGTGGCCAGGACTGCTGGGAAATGGCTTGAAAGGACCTGTCACATTACAGCTTTGGCTTCTTTAGCAGCTCAGGTGGTTGCTTATTATTCTATCTTGATTCTTCATATTAATTTTTAGAAGTAGATAAATTAGGAAAAGGTTTGGGGCAAAGGGCTATGGAAATATGCCTATTCTGTTCTGGGTCAGGAAGCACTGTATTGTGATGTAGCCTGTGGGGTGCAGATCTGACCTGCCCTGTGTCCCCAGGCTGACTGTAGAAGAACACATCTGGTTCTATGCTCGTCTAAAAGGACTCTCAGAGAAGCATGTGAAAGCAGAGATGGAGCAAATGGCCCTGGATGTTGGGTTGCCTCCCAGCAAACTGAAAAGCAAAACAAGTCAGCTCTCAGGTGAGTTGCCCTCCTTCAGCAATCTCCCCCACATATACACACTGCAGAACCAATAGCTGCCCCAGTGTTCCAGTGGGGGGAGGTGGGGGTGGGTGAGTAGGTCATAAATGGGTCCCTGGCTTGTCCCCACGTAGGTGCCTCCATTCGTCTCTCAACACCTCTGCCTTTGCTGTCTGGGGCCAGTCCTGGAACATCTCTCTTTCTCTCCTAGGTGGAATGCAAAGAAAACTGTCTGTGGCTTTGGCCTTTGTTGGAGGATCCAAGGTTGTCATTCTGGATGAGCCCACAGCTGGCGTGGACCCTTACTCCCGCAGGGGAATATGGGAACTATTGTTGAAATATCGACAAGGTAGCCGATGTGTATTTATTTTGACTTATGGACTGGGAGGGAGAGATGGAGAGACTCTTGAGAAGTATGGCTGGAGCTGTCATATGGCTGTTGTTGCTAGAACAACAGAATTGCTTCTCAAGGAAATTGTCAGACTGCTTTTCTCTTAAAAATTTTTTTTCAACGTGTATTTTTGAGATACAGACAGAGTGCAAGCAGGGGAGGGGCAGAGAGACAGGGAGACACCAAATCCAAAGCAGGCTCCAGGTTCTGAGCTGTCAGCCCAGAGCCCGATGTGGGGCTTGAAATTGTGAACTGTGAGATCATGCATGACCTGAGCTGAAGTCAGACGCTTTACTGACTGTGCCACCCAGGTGCCCCTCAGACTTCTTAAAGTTCTGTGCTCACTCATGGCTTGGATGGGGAAGTCCTGGTTTATAGGACACTTAAAATTTAGGCTTCCTGATACAGGGACCAGAAAGAAAGAAAATGGAGATAAAGGTCACGAGAACTACCTCTAGCATAGAACTCAGAAATGTCTATTGTAACTAGGTTCCCCTATAGGCTGAGATTGCCGAGAACAGAGGCTGTGTCTTTGTTCATCTCTTTTCCCAACCTGGTGCCATATATGTGTTGGAACAAGAGTAGATGAGCAAATGAGGATCATGGACTCTGGGGCCAGCTCTAGCCCTGAGACCTTGGATATGTCATTTAAGTTGTTTTAGTTTCTTTACCTATCGTAACAGCAGTACCTGCTTCATAGAGGATTAAGTTACTCGAGAACGCATGCAGACCCCTTACACGCTGCCTGACATGTGGCAGGTTCCCAAGTGAATGTTCCTGTTCTTTTTTCTGTGAGGATGCAGAATCTGTGAGGATGGCTTTGCCATCTTCAGGGTCATGGCCACACAGGCTTCCAGGTCTTTCTGCCTTGGATTCTGCCTTGTGCCCTGCTAAGATTTCTGTAGTTCCAGCTGCTTCAGTCAGTAAGAACCAACGGGCCTCACTGGTCCCACATCCTTGTGTTTGTGTTTGGCAGGCCGCACCATTATTCTCTCCACGCACCACATGGATGAAGCAGACATCCTGGGAGACAGGATTGCCATCATTTCCCATGGGAAGCTGTGCTGTGTGGGCTCCTCCCTGTTTCTGAAGAACCAGCTGGGAACAGGCTACTACCTGACCCTGGTCAAGAAGGATGTGGAATCCTCCCTCAGTTCCTGCAGAAATAGCAGTAGCACTGTGTCTTACCTGAAGAAGGTGAGTTGTGTTTTCAGTGCTGGGCTGGTGCTGGGTCCAGGGAGTCAGAGCTAGTTGGCTGTGAGTGGCTTGTCCACCTCCACCCTGCTCTGCTGCATGGGGGTCACCATGTCCCTATGCTATGGGTCCCTTTGAAGCCACATCATACTTTGTAGAAAGCTCAGGAGGCTTGTGTTCCTGCAGTACGAGCTTGGTTGAATCCCACTTCCTGTTTCCTATGGAGGCATGGTGAGTGATTGAGTGGGTCCTTAGAGGGCTTTATATCAAATGAAAAAGACGTGCCAAGAGTGAGGAAAGCTAGTTCCAGAATGCCCTGCCATTGTTGCTCATTACCCCTAGGTTTCACTGACCCTAGCTTTTAACCTACAAAACAGCAAATATTTATTGAGCACTGATTTCATGCCCGACACTCACCCTAACAGATTCTGGGCATAAAAGAATGTAATGGTAATAGTCAATTCTTTGTAGCCTTGTTATCATTTACAAACTTTTTTTTTTTTAAACTTCTATCATCTCAAAGTGCAGAGCAACTTTGGGAAGAGAGGTATTGTGATTATCAACCTAGGTTAGGGAAGTGACGTTTGTAGGAATTATGTAGTTTATTCAAGGTCATCCAGCAGGTAAATAAGAGATGGGACCAGAACCCAATAACCAGGTATGTTTTCCTCTGTTCCTCAGTCTATGCCTGAGAATGGTTTGTTTGTTGGAACCAGTGGCACCTAAAACATTTACATTCCAACCTTCAACTTCTGTCCATTTATTAACCTTCTAACTAGTGCCCAGTTACTCAAAGTGTGGTCTGAGGACCAGAAACATTGGGATTACTTGGGAGCTTGTTAGAAAGGCAGAAATGTGGGTCTAGCCCTGACTCATTAAATCAGAATCTGCATTTTAACAAGATCCCTGAGTGACTAAACACAAATTAAAGCCTGAGAAGCACTGGACCAGTTAGCCAGGTAAATCCCATGTCTTGGAAGGTTAGTGAATACCTGACGACAGCATTCATTGGCCGGCACCGTCCCACAGACAGCTCTGCTTCCTGACCTCCCATCCATACAGCACATGCATGTCAGACAGTGGCTTCGGAAGCCATGGCTGCCCAGTCCACTGCTTCCCAGGAGAAGCCTTTCCAGTTCTCACACAATAGAGCCTTATGGAAGCCCTCCCCAGCGAAGGTGCTGGTGGCTGTACCTTGCTCAGTCCCTGACCCATTCTCACCTCCTTCTTTGCCATCAGGAGGACAGTGTTTCTCAGAGCAGTTCTGATGCTGGCCTGGGCAGCGACCATGAAAGTGACACGCTGACCATCGGTAAGGACTCTGGGGTTTCTTATTCAGGTGGTGCCTGAGCTTCCCCCAGCTGGGCAGAGTGGAGGCAGAGGAGGAGAGGTGCAGAGGCTGGTGGCGCTGACTCAAGGTTTGCTGCTGGGCTGGGACTGGGTGGCTGTGGGCGAAGGGTGCAGCTTGGTGGCAGGTTGGCTTAATGCTTGCTGGGGAGCCTGGGGCTTGGCCTGGGAGCTGGAAGGGCAGTGTCCCCTAGAGGCTGACATGATTGGGGGTGGGTGGTACCTCCTGGGGGAATGGATCTGGCTGGACACTGGAGACCAAGGATGAGTTGCTGAGGGTCAAGCCACAGGGAGGGATTGGAACTCAGTAATGAAGGAGAGCGAGAACCCAGGAGATGGAGAATAGCCTGCTAGGTCTTCTTCAGGAGGTATATATAGGAGGCCGGCATCACAATTAACACTTAGGGAGCAGGAGGCTCTACTGAGTAGGTCTCTGCCCAGTTTTACCAACTGACTTTTTCCAGGGAGATGTCTCTTTCCATGAACTGTTTGATTAGCCCTTTTATTAAGGTAAATAGAAGGAGCCTCCTAAGAAGGTTAGGGAAGGGTGAAGAATCCTTTAACTCAAGTTTTCCATTGAAGAATCATAGAGTTGAGGCAGTAGGCACAAAGCTTTCAACCTCAGAAGTCTTTTTGCACATCTACCCATCTGCCCTTCCATCCTTTCTATACTTCTGTACTGAGAAACTACAGTGTGCCTGGTGTTGATGATAAAAGGGTGAATAAGACCCAGTCCTCACCCCCCAGAAACTCTCAGGCCAGAGATGAACATGTGGACTGACCTAAGTATCTGGAACGTGTCCTGTGTGGCCAGCTGGCTTCTGAGGAGTAGGCAAGGGGAGAGGGTGGAGCATGGCTGGCCTTTCATGTGCAGCCCCTGAGCTGGCTGAGCCATCACTGTGATTTGGTCCCTACAGATGTCTCCGCTATCTCCAGCCTCATCAGGAAGCATGTAGCTGAGGCCCGGCTAGTGGAAGACATTGGGCATGAGCTGACTTACGTGCTGCCCTATGAAGCTGCCAAAGAGGGGGCCTTTGTGGAACTCTTCCATGAGATTGATGACCGGCTCTCAGACCTGGGCATCTCTAGTTATGGCATCTCAGAGACTACGCTGGAAGAAGTAAGTTAAGTGACTGTCAGAGTAGAGTTGAGCCTGTGGTCCCAAGGCCAGACAGGCAGTCTGCTTTTTCCCAGGGGAATAGGATTTCCCAGGGCAGGTTATTGAGCACTTAGGCCATTGATATTGGGCTATTGTTGGCCAAGTTAACCTTTAAATTTGTGGTGTGAGATAACGGGAGAGCTGTATTAGGATTGCTCCCTGGTGTGGCTGTGTCATGGCCATGCATAGGAAATAGCCAACATTTATGGAGAATCTGTGTGTGCCTGGTGTTAAACTGGGTGCATTTTTAAAAAAATAATTGTAACTTAATCCTCATAATATGAAAAAGTGGGCACTCGAGAATGCTGAGCTGAGCATCAGGGATGATTCAGTATGGGCTGCAAAGCCCATACTTTTTACTGTGTAGCGGCACTTCCCTTTCGAGACAGAACATCATAGACCTGGAGGGATACAAAAGTTGTGTGGCCCAGTTGTCTCCAGCCTTGGCCATGCAGCAAAAATCATCTGGAGATATTACTGACAGTAAAATGCCAAGCTTCAGTGCCAGGGTCTCTGAGTCAGAATTTCTGGAAGTAAGGCCTTAATGTCTGTGCTTTTATGACATGCTTCCCAGGCTGTGGTCTGTAGTTCAGCATTTAGAAATCATTGGCTAGTTCACATTCCCTTCTGATATTTGAATCCCTGACATAATATTTCTAGTAATGGGGATTTGATCATTCTGTCTTGGATGACTTACCACAGTGCTAGCTTACTCAGAGATTTGGGGCCATCGCCCTGGAAGAGACCACCTGACAGGCTCCCTGTAGAATCAGAACAAATTTCTTCCACTGTGTGTTCTAATGTCACGCCTTTAATTTGAAAAGGATTGTTTGGATTGATAGTTCTGACTACTGAGGAAGTGTTCTCCAGTTAAAAATGCCTTCACTACCAAGTGACTGAGAAAGTATTATTAATAAAGGAAGCTTTTAGTTTTTGTGTTTAGGGGTTAATAAGCTACTCAGTAATGCAGTAATTGTGGCGGTGATGATTGTTCTCATAATATGGTGTTCAGAATATTCTCACCTCTATTTTTCAGATATTTCTCAAAGTGGCTGAAGAGAGTGGGGTGGACGCTGAGACTTCAGGTAACCCTCTAGGGGAGCCAGATATGCTCTGGGCCACACCCCCTGCAGGCTCACCAGAACTGTGCCTTTCCATTTGACTTGATTTATTGTGTTCTTATTTTTAGTGTATATATTTGTGACAGATGAGAAGGGTTAGTTTTGTTACAAATAAAATGTGGAATCCCTTCCTTTTGCCTACAGATGGCACCTTGCCAGCAAGACGAAACAGGCGGGCCTTTGGGGACAAGCAGAGCTGTCTTCGCCCATTCACTGAAGATGATGCCATTGATCCTAATGATTCTGATGTAGACCCAGGTCTGTTTGGGCAAGATCTGTGTTCATTGTTTGAAAGTGAATTTCTGTCTTGTGTATTCCAACGTTTCCTTTCTATGGCCTTAAGCCCAGGATGATAGATGCATACAGGGTCCAAAGGGAAGGGGGAAGATGAGAAAAGCCATGTTCCCTTTTCCAGCATCGGGCAACCTATCAGTCCTGAAAGAGCCTATCCTCATCACTTTCTTCATTTAGTTGAGCTCTTTCTCTCAAGGTACATATAAAAGGATGTTCTCTCAATCCTCTGAATTCATTTATTATCTTTTCTGTGGAGACCAAGCTTATTGCATACATTAGGTGTTTAATTGTTAAATGAATATTGTTTAAATGGATGAATGGTTTCTAATATGTCAGCGTTTAGAATTATTTCTTCCTTAGACTTAGATATTTTGGACGAGTATATCCCTGTGTGTTTGAGGGGGATGGAGAAAAGGAGACAATAAGTCAAGCAAATACTCTTGAGATGTTAAAGTACCTCAGTTAGGAATCATTAATTTAAGATCCAGAGTTTTATACAGTTGTTAGGAGCAGAAACTTTTCTGTTTCCTAGTCCTGCTCACATGAGTGTGTGGCCCTCATGTTCTTCTCGACTTTATACATTGTCAGTACTTAGATCATTTGAACGTGTCTATCTTTTACCAAAAATATAACGGATGGGAGACAAATCAGCATCTTGTGCTCTCAATTATGTTAGCCTAAACACATAGCATGTTGTGTTTAATATTCTCTAAGAAAGTGAGGATGAGTTGGTTCATCTGAATGACTCTAAATAAAACAGTTACATGTGAACACATCTCTTGGATTGTCTCAAGGCACCTTCATTTCCTGTACTCCTCAGACAAGAACTGGAAGGCACAAACTGCTACTGTTGGACATTTGGAGTCCTAACTTTCCCTCAGACAGATTTTTCCTGAAAGCTCTTTACTTTTGAGAGACTTTTGCTATTAAACACAAGCCTCTCAAATGGTTGCTGAGAATGCTGGAGGGAGGAACATGGTGATGTCAAAACTGTCTGAGATAACAGGTGACCTTCGGTGTTGGCTTCTTGCAGAATCCAGAGAGACAGACCTGCTCAGCGGGATGGACGGCAAAGGCTCCTACCAAGTGAAGGGCTGGAAACTCACACAGCAGCAGTTTGTGGCCCTTCTGTGGAAGAGGTTGCTGATTGCCAGAAGGAGTCGGAAAGGATTCTTTGCTCAGGTGACAAGAGCTGCTCCACGCCTGGGACTCTGGCTTCATGGGTGGGCTGCAGGCTCCCTGACCAGTGGAGGCAGGAGAGGGTCATGGTTAGGAGATGGATGGTAGGTCCAGACTCTGTATTTCAGTCCCAGTTCTGCTTCTGGCCACTCATGCGTCTGCAGGCAAGTTTCTTCTCTGCCTCCATCTACTCCACTTTAGAATGAAGATAACATACCTACAACACGGGGCTGTTAGGAGGATTAAAATGAGTAAATGCTTAGAACGGGGCCTGACATGGAGTAGTGCTGTGTGTATGTGAGTATTACTGTAAAGGATGATAGAAGAGGGGCAGAGTTCAGAAGAACTGGCTGGGCAAATTCAGTTTTCATAACCTGAGAAATGATACATACAGATGCCTGCATGTCATGCTAAGTTGTTGGCTTGCTAACTCTCTTGCTCAGAAGGGATGAAATTATCCTACTCTGTAAAGTCAAGAAGTATAAAGTCAAGAGATTCTTCCCTATAGACTATGTGGATAATGTAAGAGAGTGAGTTTGGAACGTACAGACCTGGATTGAATTCTGGTTCTGCTACTTATGGCTGTGTCACCTTGGGCAAGTTCCTTAGTTTCTCTCAGTTCAACTACCTTGTTAGTTATTTGATGATGATCCTACTACTCAGGGTTGTAACAATAACAAAATGAGATCATTGTCATATAGTGTTTTCCCATAAAAAAGGATTTAGGTAATTCTGCTTTTTGAGGCCATTACATGGTGACAGTGGCTGCTGTTTCCCTTTCAGAGTGTGGGATCTGACTGTGGGTCCTTTAGTCTTGGTCCGCAGATTACAAGTGAGCACACGAGGCCACAGCAGGAAGTGGCTTCACATGGATACGCTAGTGGTAAAGACAGAGCCAGCCTTCAGGTCTTCTGACTCCTGGTCCAGGACTTTTCTCTCAGCCTTTCTCTGAGCTGAGCTGGGCTCCTGGCCCAGTGGGGTCTTTCTCGGGTCTTCAGAGGGAAGAGGACAGGCCCGAGTGTTCTGAGTCACCCTGACGTATGGCCGCTGTTGACTCTGAAGTTTTTAGCTTGGTGCCTCTGCCAGGTGGCCGTGGCCTCTGACCTAGTGCTGCCAGCTTCCAGAAATGCCCCGGAGAGAAGAGGTTTAGGTGTCAGGATCTGCTGCTTCCGGCCTGCCATGAGTGCCTTGGTGGAGCTCTGCTGTGGGCCCTGGACTGCTCATTTGCATGCTGGCTGGTCTGGGAGGCTAGCTGGACTCTTAGGGGCTTGCCCCATGCCCTTCTTTCTAACACATACCCTGTTTTGCAATTTCCTTTCCCCTCTGCCCCTGGTTGTAGATTGTCCTGCCAGCTGTGTTTGTCTGCATTGCCCTGGTGTTCAGCTTGATCGTGCCACCTTTTGGCAAGTACCCCAGCCTGGAGCTTCAGCCCTGGATGTACAACGAACAGTACACATTTGTCAGGTATGTGCTTGCGCCTGCACCCGGGGACAGAAGAGAGCCCAGACAGACCCAGGTGTTTACTGTGCTGAGGGCCAAGGGGTGGTGGACTCAAGACTTACATAGTGGAGTGGATTTTATCAGCTGTCCCAAAGCCCCTGCACAAACTAACATTGGATGCAAAGAACAGCAGCCAATTGAACCTCAAATAATAGACCAGTTCTCTGTTGCCACTTTGGAGCTCCTTTCCTTTTATACTGCTGATATCAAGAACAGTCTTACACGCTTTACATAAATAATCTGCCCTTGGAATACATCTGTGATGAAGCTGTCATGCATTTGGCGTTTCAAAACTATGTTTGAATTTTGGATCACAGGGCTTCCGTACACTGTCACAGCATTACACACCCCCACGGTCTTGTTTGTGCAGGATACAGTTCATGTGTTGATTAAATTATAGATAGTAACTAGCATGTGTCTTTAATGTTTATTTATGTTTGAGAGACACAGAGACAGAGTATGAGTGGCAGAGGGGCAGAGAGAGTGGGAGACGTAGAATCTGAAGCAGCTGTCAGGCTCTGAGCTTGTCAACACAGAGCCCAATGTGGGGCTCTAACTCATGAACCATAAGATCATGACCTGAGCCAAAGTCAGACGCTTAATCAGCTGAGGTGATCCTAGTGTGTATTCTTTAGACACAAATGCCAGCTACTCTGGAACAATCCCGTGCTTCATAGAACAAAAGAATTTCTCTTATTTCCTTAAGCAGAAGTTTTCTTCAGGCTTGTACTATTTGTAGACCAAACAAAGGAAACAAAAAAAATCCATAAATGTGTGAATCCATTCCTCCTCCTCTAGCCCCATGTTTCTTGCCTGTTGAGTCCAGGTTTTATGGAGAACTGTTAAAGTGTTTTTGAAAAACTGATCCTGAATTTCTTCACGTTAAAAAATCCATATGTAAATGTGCATGTATGCATACTGTGTGCACACCCACCCACAGACAACTCCATATGTAGAACTAACACAAACTGCTTCAGAGGGCTGTATGTTATCTTGATCCCAAATAAGCAGTCCATGTCTGAGCTCCTTTGGGGTAGGTTTTGTGTTGATTCACATCTGTTTTAAGAGCTTGGCACACAGCAAGTGGCTAGTGAAGTGTTTAATTTAGAAAACCAATTCCACCTTCCAATTCCTGGTTTTAATGTATTACTAATGGCTGCCTGTCGTGTACCCACAGTAATGATGCTCCTGAGGACCTGGGCACCCAGGAACTCTTGAATGCCCTCACCAGAGATCCTGGCTTCGGAACCCGATGTATGGAAGGAAACCCAATCCCGTGAGTGCCACTCTCCACAGCTGGGTCTTCTTAGGCATGTCACCTGGTTTGATGTCTAATATATTGCCCTTATCAGCCATGATAGATGCCACATTGTGACTAGTATCATTTGTCCTTTAAACTATTTTTTGTTTTTAAAAGGCTGATATAGTAATCCAACCAGACCATCTAGACACAAACATAGCAGACTAGGAGAGTTTTCTAACATCCTTCAAAGTAAATCACTACAGACATTTATTTACTGCTTTAGGGATTAATATTTAATTTAAATAGCACTTCGTACTGATCAAATGCTTTTCCCTTTTTCCTTCCTACCAGCTTCTGTACCTAGCAGAGATAGGCTGCCATTATATGTAATTTGCAGTTTTGCTTATCAGCTTCTTCACTTTGCCAACCTGAAAAGATGTTACATTATCGTGTATTGAAATGGACATGTTCTTCTTTTAGAATTGCATATCTTTGTGCTTTCCTTCAAAATCCGTTTTAAGGAAATAGGCAATGTATGAATAAATGCAGTGAAATACCCATGGGTGTCTAAGTGGGTATGGGGGGAGATGTGTGTGGAGGTCTTTGTGCATAATGACCATGAAGAGAGTTGAATTTCCATGAGGGCTGAACCATGGCCCGGGCAGGTTTGAAGTTCCAGGCTGAGGTCAAATGAGGTTCAAGTAGTTACATCACAGACTCTGAAGAATTATGGAGAGTGAGGGAAGGCAATAGTAAGTTTGGAGAAGGGCTAACTTGAGTTCCAGGTTTTAAAGGCAAGGTACTGACCTTGCAAGTGACCAGTGAGTATAGTGCTCATGCATACAAGGTTTCAGAGCAGACTTCTAGATGGATAGTTACCATGTACTTGCTAGCTCTTATTATTGGATATTTACTAAACATGTGCTGTTGCATAATGCTTAATGGGTGATAAGCCCTAGCAGCCAATATCAGATCCTAAAGAACAAGATGATTCTGATGGAAAAAGATGTGGGGGAAAAAAAAAAAAAAAAAAAGACCTGGAGACATCCTATTTGAAGTCACAAGACTTTTGACTTTGGACAAACCTGCAAGTTGTATAGGCGAGGTAGGAGAATGAGATGAGAAGCTAATAGAGTTAGATGGATTCATTACACATTTGCTGAGCAGTGTGGACTCACACATAGGTGGCAGCCATAGACGAAGCTGGGTCTGGGCTCAGGGAACCTCCAGAGACAAAAGAGGTCAGGCCCCTCTTGCCATCAGAGGGCCCACAGCCTTGGGGGCAAAGCACTGCTGAATGTGTGTTAGGGGTCATGTGATGGATGGGGCCTCGCTCTGGCAACTTCTACCAAATACACATTCTAGGATTTACCTAAAGGGGGAGAACTGAGGGAACTTTGACTGGGACATTGACTGTGGCATTGAGCTTTGTCTCAGCCAGTCAGTTTGTAAAGGCTTTAGAGTGTGAGCTTCAGGAGGTACTGTGTCTTACTCTGACTTTTGCATCAAGTCACAGTGCTTTAGAGAGAACTAGAGAGCAATCCACAAATCTGTTCCTTTGATATTTTTAGTACATTCAAGCATGACATAAAGAATGTGGCTACGCATTAAATTGTAGAATTTCAAACTAGATGAGTTACTAGAAATGACTTTGTTTCAAGATGTCATTTTGTACTTTTAGTGGAGAAGCTAAGACTCGAGAGGACAAGTGTCTTGATGGTCCACAGTGATTCCGAGCTCCAGTCAGGCACAAAGGCCTTGTCTTTTGTCACCTAGCATGCTTGCAAACAATTTAACTCTTCATGTACTGAGCACCCTCTCCCCAACCTCAATTCTCTACTTATTTTAAAACATAAAGTGAATCTTGCCATCTTGCACCAGATTTTCAGCACATTGAGCATAACATGCAGACTCCTTCCCAGACCTGATCATCTGGCAACTGCCTCCCTCCACCCCTCCTCTCCCACTGTGTCCTTCCTAGCTCATCTCGCCCCAGCCACACTGCCTTCCTCCTGTTCCTCAAACATGGAGAGCTCATTTCTTTTGAGGGACTTTGTACCTATACTTTCTATTTCCTTTGCTTTTTCTTTATCCCTAGTCTTTTTCTGGCTTCTCTTTCTAATCATGTATGTATGCCTTGGAAGAAGTATTACCCTCTTAGGGAGAAGTAGTCCTTTCCCCGCCCCTCCCCCCCCCCCCCCCCCCAATTCAGTGTCCTCTTATTTGGCTTTATTTTTGGCTAGGTAACATTTATTTATTGCCAGATTCTAGCACAGGAATGCCAGCTCCATGCAGGCAGAGACTTTGTCTTGTTCATCCCAGATTCTCAAATGTGTAGAATAGTCTCTGGCATGTAGTAGATGCTCAGCGAGTATTTGTTGAGTGAACACAGGGCAGGAGACCACCATCTGGTGGATTGGATTCACTGGAGTTTGGTAGGTGAGCATTTAGGGCCTCTTTGTGTTCCATCATCCTGAACTGCAAAGTAAGTTTGCGTCTCACAGGTCTGTGCAGAGATCAAACAAATGGTAAGGGGATAGATGCATGTTTGCGGTTGTTATTGATTGATCTGTGCTCCTGAGGCACCAGGAAAGGCCAGGCCCTCTCAGGTGACGCTACTGTTGATGTCTTCCCTCTGCAGAGATATGCCCTGCTCTGTGGGGGAGGAGGAGTGGACCACCGCCCCGGTTCCCCAGACCATCACGAAACTCTTCCAAAATGGGAACTGGACGATGGAGAACCCGTCACCCTCCTGCCAGTGTAGCAGCGACAAAATCAAGAAGATGCTGCCTGTGTGTCCCCTGGGGGCAGGGGGGCTGCCTCCTCCACAAGTGAGTCAATCTCCGTGTGATGAGCAGATGGCGGTGCAGGGTGGGTTGGGGCACTTCTGTTAGGAAGAAGGAATGGATGGCATATCATGTCAGGGCGTTGTCTTTCAGGCTGGATCTTAATTGTATGGGGAAAAGCATGTAAGTTTTGAGGGGAAGGCGCTGGTCCATAAGCTTCTATCTTAGCTTAGCTTGTTTCTCTAGTTTGAGAAAAGGCAGCCTAGTGTGCTCACTTGTTTGAGTTAAAACCAGAACCCAACACTCGGGATCAGTGGGCTGTGGAAGACACACTCTGGCTTCTCCCACTGAGGTAGTGTGACAGAACATAGTGACAGACCTGGCTTCAATCCGGTCCTGCCACAGATGAGCTGGTGACCTCGGACAGGCCCCTCAGTGCCTGGACCTGTTTCCTCACCTCTGAGTTAGGGAGGCTGGCCAGTGAAGCTTCTGTGTGTCTTAAAACTCTGACATTCTCTGAGACTGAATGTAGGCAGCAGTCGTGAGCCTTTTTTCTGAGAACAGTTTCAGAAAGAGGCTTGCTTGTGATCTCCCTCTGCTGCTGTGTCAGCATCCAAGTTGCAGGGTGAGGACAAGCACATTTAAATGGGTGTGAGAACTTAAAGATGTCCTGGTTGCTTCTTCCTAAAACCACAGCTAATCTGTTAATCAGTAAAACTCCAGTGAACAAAAGAATTTGCTGGGCATAGTCAGTGATACTGCTCCCTGAACACTTTTGTGACTATAAAGAATCATATTCTACTGTCTATTGTTTAGCAGTTGAGAATAATTTCCTGGGAACATCTTGGCTTGGCAGAAGGGCATGGCCAATGCTGAGGGCAGAATGGACCAGTCCTTGGTGTTTGGATGATGGTAGTGCCTGGAGTCTGGTCTTTCTGTGGTCCATGTTTGGGTGATATGTGTCCTCTAGTCTTTGATTTTTTTTTTTTGTTTATTTGTTTCTGTTCCAATTGTGGTCCATAAAGACACTTATGCTTGTTTTTTCTGTGATGACAGAGAAAACAGAACACCGCAGACATCCTTCAGAACCTGACAGGAAGAAACATTTCGGATTATCTGGTGAAGACCTATGTGCAGATCATAGCCAAAAGGTCATTATTTACTAAACCTGGCTCTTCCTGAGTAGGGGAATTATAGGTCTAAAAATAGCAGGTTGGTTATGTGTGTGGGAGGGTGGGGGTGGCGGAGACATCAAATTTTGACCTAATGTTGGCTTTTGGTTGTTTAGGATTTTCTCCCAAGCTAAAGGTAAGGATTATGAACTTTTAGTTGTCAGCATCAACATTAAGGCTGCCCAGTATAATCACAGTGCTGTGCACTAGAAAAGTTCTGGAGTTCACATGTACACTATTGTGATTACAGTTAAAAATACTGTATTCTATACTTCTAAGTTATAAAGAAACTAGATCTTAAATGTGCTTGCCACAAAAAAAGAGACAGTAATTACAGGACATGATGGAGATGTTAGCTGACAGCACTGTGGTAATCAAAGTGTAATATATAAATATGTTAAATCAAACTGTTATATACCTTAAACTTGCACCTGGTTGTTTGTCAATAAAAAAATAAATCTGGATTCAAATTTGAATTATACTTATTATCTGTTTTACCAAGAGCAACCAGTTTTCCTTTAAAAAGCCTTAGTTTGTAGATTATGTGAGAATACTGTTTCTCTTACTACTCCATGGTGCAGATTAAATGACATGATATATGTCAAGGGACTCTCATAAATGGAATGATTGATAGTATTGATGATATGTAGCACTATGAAGTGAGCTCTGGGCCAACTCAATGGCCTGACTTGTCTGTGGAGACTTGGAAGAGCCATGAAGGTTCCTGGGGCATCACTACACAACACCGAGTACTTAACTTGATGCCCAGGAAATGATCATTCTGGTTTCCTTTTGGTTTGTTGAGCCTCTCTGTTAGGTATTCTCAGTAATTTTAAATGACAAGAGTGTGCTTGAATGAAAATTCAATGTGAGTTTGATAATGATAATTACTGTGAGTTTCCAAGAATGAGAAATAACCTTTCCATGTCCTCCATAGCTGACATATTACCTTAAATTCAGTAAGTTTCAGGGTGCCTCTCTGGCTCAGTTGGTAGAGCATTTGACTCTTGATCTCAAGGTCATGAGTTTGAGCCTCTCTTTGGGTGTGGAGCCTACTTAAAAGGAGTTAAAAAAAAAATCTATTAGTTCAGTCACATTAGGTTTTGAATTGGTTCAATCCAAAGCATGATTTTCATATAAACAACATGATGGTTTTAAGATGAGGAGGAAAAGACACAGTGACTGGGGCATCCTGCCGTAGGTACCACTCCCTCAATACCAGCCTCTTCACAGGATTCTTTCCATCTCTGCTTGTTTCCTCGGGTAGATAGTAACTTTTGTGTCATCAGGAATAGGATCAATGATTCTTCAAACTGATTTTTGGTTTCTTTTCTTTGGCTTCTACAGTTTAAAGAACAAGATCTGGGTGAATGAGTTTAGGTAAGTTGATCTCTTCCTGTGCCTGCTTTTATTTTTTCTGGACTCCTGTAGTTCAGAAGGATGACTTTGATCCAGGTACCCCAGATGCCAGGAGGCTGGGGTGTGGGGATTGCTCGGTGCTCAGCTGCCTCTTCAGATGCCTTTGAAAGATGTGGCATTCTGATCCCCATGAGGAGATTCAGCGGCGTCTCAGAGGTCTCTACGGATTTTACAGGGAAGCACACTGTTGTGAGGGAAATAGCTTATGCTCTTGGCACATTCCCAAGGGGTCCTAGGGACTCTAGGACAATTTTTCAGACCTTTAGAATGAGACCAAGGTCTTGGATGAAATAACAGGCATCAAAGTTACTTATTTTCACAGTATTTGAACTCCTTTATCCTTGTAGGTTTTGAAAGAACAGGTGGCCCTAGGGAAGAAAGGAAGGAACTTCAATGAATCCTTGAAGCCAATTTGTATTTACTAAAGAATGAGATACCTTATATGGCTGCCTCAAAACTTAGCTCCGTCACTGCTTCCCACTTTTCCTCTTTGCCTTTTTCCCAAGGGCCAGCACCCACAGATCTCTGCACAGAGCAGATGCAGACTGGGGACCCCTAAAGTAGTCTTCATGCTAGGAAAGAGCCAAGTCCTGTCTGTAAGCCCTCCTCCTTAGGCTACTCTGCTCAGTGTCCCTCCTCTAACTCCCCATCTGCTTGTCTTGAAACCCAGACCCCTGCCCAGATACGCACGTGTAGGCCTGGGCCATCAGGCTGTGAGATGAACGACCCTTCTTAATGCCTCAGACATCTCACTCTGTGTGTAATCACATATAGGTCCTTCCCACTTGTGCAGGAACCATGAGTTAAGAGATTGCCAGAATTCATTAGAGGAGGCCAAGATACAGTTTTCTCCAAGTCTAGCTTCAGTCCTGTTTTTGATTAAGCAATTCACCTACATGAAGCATGCACACATTCATGGGATGTCTGCTGCTCAGTGATAACTGTGTACCATGCTGTATTCTAATGCCAGGCTCTTCTTTTAGGTACGGAGGGTTTTCCCTGGGTGCCAGTAATTCTTATTCATTCCCTTCAAGTCAAGAAGTTAATAATGCCATCAAGCAAGTGAAGAAACACTTGAAGCTGGCCAAGGTATGGTATCCATTCTAGGACATGTCAGAAAAATGGGCCTAGAGTTGCTGCTATGTGGGAATAGTTGGCAGATAAATTTAATCACCCAACTACTTACTGTTTTTAAAACTTGTGATACAAAGCCATTGTTGGCATTTACTGATCTTGTGCCAGCCAAGATGAGGCTATACAGTGTATGTTTAATATCTGAAAACATAGGTCAAAAAAATTCAGAGATTTAAAACACTGAGAATAACTTCAGTTCATGAATTTAGCCATAGGCAAATAAACTGGGCTTCAAACATAATTTTCTAAAATAATCACTGGTTAAACAGGAAATGAATTATTTCCTTAAAGCTGGCAGCAAGACCTCTATAAAGCACCCACTTGATTTCTCAGTACTTCTGATTTCCTGTTTTTATTTTTTTATTAAAAGGCTGTTTTTAAATGGTTGTTTACTTTTGAGAGAGAGATAGACAGCAGGCAAATGGGGGAGGGGCCAAGAGAGAGGTATACACAGAATCCAAGGCAGGCTGCAGGCTCTGAGCTGTCAGCCCAGAGCCCGACTCAGGGCTTGAACTCAAGACTATGAGATCATGACCTGAACTGAAGTCAGCCGCTTAAATGACTGAGCCACCCAGGTGCCCCTCCTCCCAAATTTTTTTATGTTTATTTTTGAGAGAGAGAGAGAGAGAAAGCATGTGAGCAGACAGGGGAGGGGCAGAGAGAGACACAAACACACACAGAATCCAAAGTGGGCTCCAGGCTGTCACCACTGAGTCCAATGTGGGGCTCGAATCCATAAACCACGAGATCATGAACCAAACTTGGATGCCTAACTGACTGAGCCACCCAGCCACCCCTCTGGTTTCCCATTTTTAAATGAGAATTGAGGGGTCAGATGACATGCACTCCAGGATCATGGGCAGCCATGATAGTCCTAGAGTCTTATCTCCATTGTTGAGGCACGGACCCCACGTGTCCAACACATCGGCACACTGAGTGTAGTTCTGGGTCCTAGGATGCCAAGAGAACACTTGGGAGAATCCTCACCACCCAGTTAAAGTGAAACATCTGCATCTTGGGACTTTGAGTCACTGGACGTCCCTGTGACTCCTTCAAGACTTGTGGTTTTTTGGTAGAATGAATGCTTTAGATTTCTGGTCACTTGTTTCTTGGGCACCAGTTATTCAGTGACTTCAAATCTATCTCACTTCAGTGAGCAAGGCAGTAAGATGTTGCTCCTCACATGGTTGTCCCATAGCCCTTCCCTGTGAACCATCCCAACTGAGGCAGGTTTCTGTTGTTCACAGGACAGTTCTGCAGATCGATTCCTCAGCAGCTTGGGAAGATTCATGACAGGACTAGACACAAAAAATAATGTCAAGGTAAAGCCCTTTGTTCAAGTAGCTTCTTGATGAACAACTTATAATGTTGACAGGTGTATTCATGACAGGAAAGAGCTACTAGTTTTACCACGGAGGCCATATAGTATAGCAGTGAAGAGAATTTGCTTTGCCACAGACATGGCAAGTGAACTGTTGTGATCTTGACTACGTTACCTAACTATCTAAGCCTCAGTTCACTAATCTAAGAAAGGGAGACCGTAATCATGGCTACCTTAAAGCTGTGGTGAGGATTGAGTGAGTTAAAGTTATAGGGTAGTTGGCATGGTGCCTGGCCTTACGGGTTCATGCTCTGTATACCCTGGCTGCTGTGATTACTTTGCCATGTTCTTGGACTATAATGTTTTATCTTGGTGTATGACTGTAATTCCTAAAATTCATGCCCATGTTTTCTGTATGTCCATCTACCTCTGGGAGCAGGATTTGGAAGCATTACTTCATACCTGGTGTATTTTATTTTAGGTGTGGTTCAACAATAAGGGCTGGCATGCCATTAGCTCTTTCTTGAATGTCATGAACAATGCCATCCTCCGGGCCAACCTGCAGAAGGGAGAGAACCCGAGCCAGTATGGGATTACTGCTTTCAATCACCCTCTGAATCTCACCAAGCAACAGCTCTCAGAAGTGGCTCTGTAAGTGTGACTGTGTCTGAATGGGTGGGGTAAGAGGACAAGAGGGTGTTGGTGGACTCCTGGAGTAGAGGAAGTACAAAATTGGTTCTCGAGTACCAGCTGAGGTCACAGTTATATTATGGTATATCTGGGTTAATTCAGGTTCTGGGCAGACAATGATCAATTTATGAATTGGCTGACAGGGATTAAACTGCAGAAGATAAAGGACTCTGATGTCTAAAAACCATTACATTTAGTAAATTGTCACTAAAATCCCAAAATATTTTATCTCACTAACCGGTGTGCCTGGGTGGCTCAGTCAGTTAAGTGACCTACTTCGGCTCAGGTCATGATCTCGCAGTTTGTGAGTTGAATCCCCAAGTCAGGCTCTGAGCTGTCAGCACAGAGAGACTGCTTCCAGTTCTGTCAGCCCCTCTTCCTCTCATGCTCTCAAAAAATGAATAAACATTAAAAAAATAAATTAAAAAATGGTTTTATTAGTTTTGAAACCACTGTTTGTAAACTTGGTGAGGCATACTCTTATCAGCTTTTTAAAAATTTTTTATTTTTTAATATAATTTATTGTCACATTAGCTTCCATACAACACCCAGTGCTCATCCCAACAAGTGCCCTNCTCAGGAGTAGAACCCAGTGATTTCTGTTACATGTGACACCCAATGTTCATCCCAAATAGTGGACTCCTTAATGCCTGTCACCTATTTAACCCCCCCCCCCCCCCCCCCCCCCACCGTCAACCCTCACTTTGTTCTTTGTATTTAAGTATCTGTTATGGTTTGCCTCCCTTCCTCTCTGTTTGTAACTTTTGTCCCCCCTTAATTCTTGAATTGTGTGTGTGTGAAGTTTAAAACTGGTATAATGTAGCTTAAAGTACATAGCCTTTGGAATCAGAGATCTGTGTTTGAATCTGGCTTTTAAATTTCTAGATGTATGATGTTAAATGAGGCAATTCATGTAAATTGCCCAAGTCTAGCAGTCAGCATTGTTGATATCACGTTGGATTCTTTCCTGTATATGGAGCGTGGCACAGCTATTTCTGCTGAACTCATATAGATTATCAATATATGTCACTAGGATCTTTATACCAAACTTATATAAAATTAATATATATATAAATAGATTATATTATATCCTTCTTAATAAACATATAGTTCTTAGAATAAGAATCTGATAGAATTTTTGTTATGCGTTACATAGACCGCACACTATTGTTTTCAAATTTATTTATAGCCAGAAATTAACTTATTTGAATAGGTTCACACTAATATTTCTGCTTTATTTAGTTTTCAAGATACAGTAGTCCTATATGTGTAGAAATTTACAACTTAATGCTCTTAAGAGTCAAGAAAGGAAGACCAAAATGAATGCCATTTGGCCATTAGACTTTTTAAAATAATTACACTATGGCAATGGGTTCTTTTTTGCCTCACTGAAATCAGTTTTGCATTTTAATTATCAGTATTTTTTTTTTTTAGTTGAAAATAATCATCTTTAACCCTGACTGAAATTCATTTTGTGAACAGATATTTTCCCCCCAGGCTATGCCCCAGATCTCAGACACTTGTGTGTGCGTATGTGTGCGGTATGTACATGCACATGTATCTTGCTTGATTGGGTCCTCAACTGCATCAGCGGCCCCTCATAGCCTCACTGTCTTTTGTTTGCAGGATGACTACATCAGTGGATGTCCTTGTGTCCATCTGTGTCATCTTTGCAATGTCTTTCGTCCCTGCCAGCTTTGTGGTGTTCCTGATCCAAGAGCGGGTCAGCAAAGCAAAGCACCTGCAGTTCATCAGTGGAGTGAAGCCTGTCATCTACTGGCTCTCCAATTTTGTGTGGGACATGGTAAGAACTCCAGTCTTCTGCTGTTTTATAAATCATTAGGACTGTGGATTGGATGAAAGAGCCCCTCTGGCTTTTCTAAAAGTGTACAAGCTAGTCAAAGATGAATGAAAAAGGAAAAGGCAGAGGCAGTTATATACTCTCATGACACTAAATAACTAAATATGGCATCAGATACAGAGCTGATCTCCCACCAGAAAGAAAAATCTGCCTACACTGCAATTAATACCACTGCCACTTCCTAAGTGACCCCTTTTCAAAGTAACGTCAAGCTGGAAGACTCTTAATCCAAACTCCATTGCCTCTGCCTTGTCTGGTAGATTTTCACCTCCAGAATCAAGGTGTTCTTTACCTTAGTAGGGAATCCATCTTTCAGTTGAAAACTATACATTTTACCCAAAAGCTTATCCATCCATTTCAAATATATTTTTGTGCCAGGTCTAATACAGTGCTTTTGTTCAGATCAATATGGAGGACTTAAAAGAATTCTGAAGTCCTAATTTTTGTAAAGTGGAGTTGAAGTATATCTCCCTTGACTTCCATTAATCGTAAGCCACACAGAACAAATTTAATTCTTCTCCCACTGCACAGCCCTTCAGGTATTCGAAGACAACTTTCATTTAACCCATCTCTTCCCCAGATAAGATGATCTATATGAGGACACACTTTGTAATCTCTAAAGCGCTGTACAAACATGAGTGATGATGATGGTGTCTGTTCTGATTATACCAACCCTCTCAGACTTATCACTGTTCTGATATGTTGCCTTTCTATGGCCATGTTCCACGTTGTTAATGTTCCTTTTGAAAAGGCAAGCCGAAAACTAACCTTGTGTTCAGGCTGAGGTCTGAAAGGTTACAAATCTAGAGAGAGTTGATCTTTATCCCATACTTTCATTATTCAGCCCACAGGTATTGCATGGGGAAGTAGCACTGTCTTGATGGTGACTTGGTAGTGAACTGCAATTTCCATTTCATAGAATGATTGGTGAATGGAGTCTCTTTCACTCTATACTAATGCAGTTGACTTTTTGAACCTAAGCTTTATATCTGTCCCTATGATACAGCATCTTGTTTAGCATCCATCTGGTTTTGTTTTTATCTTGATCCAGTGATTACTTCATTCGGTAAACACATACTGAGTGCTCACTATGTATCTGACTGTGGCAGGCACAGGAGGCTCAGAGATGGAAGATCAAGTCTGACCGCAGAGCTATCACTTATCTTCATATGTGTTATGTGTCCCCCACCCCCACCCCACCCCTGCTTTAGAGACTCTGAAATTCACTAAAAGCATGCCTTCACCTAAGTTGTTGATAAACTACTGGGAAGGATGGGATTGAGGCAGAGTCCTGCAGTCTGAAGCTCAAATTCTTTTAACAGCCAACAAGTCCACTATCACCTCCCTGCCTGTGCTTTGGTCTGCCAGCTATGAATTCTCATAATTGTCCTATAGTCAAGTCTTTATATCTGCATTTTAATGCTTGACACACTGTCAGGACAGACTTTAAAATTACTCTCAGTGTGATGAAACCATTCTGACATTCATGTTATGAGGTAAGCACTTATAAATAGATTACATGTGAGATTGAAGTTGGGCAGACTCTAATATAGCATTAATGGTGAAACACACAATCATCTTTGGGAAGACTAATGGAAGCTTATTTGCTGCCTGTGAAATTGTAATTACTCTGACTGGGAATCCATTGTTCAGTATAAGTTTACTGAGCGTGACACCTTGGCTTAGCTGTTGGAAAGACAGAAAGGGCATGCAGTTTATAAAATCAGCCAAGGGTAAAATGCTTGTCAAAATGTATTGTCCAGTATTTTGATTAATGCTTTATGTGGCTTCATTAATTCAAAGTTATTCTCCCAATATGTTTATCTGCCCTTTCTTGTCCTATGATGGTGAAGACTTGAGATGTGCTATGACTCTGACTCAGGGGTGAACCTTATTTCCTTGTTTTTCACTTTTAGTGCAACTATGTGGTCCCTGCCACGCTGGTCATTATCATCTTCATCTGCTTCCAGCAGAAGTCCTATGTGTCCTCCACCAACCTACCCGTGCTAGCCCTTCTACTTTTGCTGTATGGGTAAGGCATCTGTGGATGGGAGTAAGGCATATAGTGCCCAGTGTCCAAGGAAGGCAGGGGACACCCAGTGGACATTTGTCTTTGTGCCTCACCAGGTGGTCGATCACACCTCTCATGTACCCGGCCTCCTTCGTGTTCAAGATCCCGAGTACAGCTTACGTGGTCCTCACCAGCGTGAACCTCTTCATCGGGATCAATGGCAGCGTGGCCACTTTTGTGCTGGAGCTGTTCACCAACAATGTGAGTCTGCAGAAAGAGCAGCTCCTGTGGGGATGAGCATCTCTGCGAGCCAGAGGACAACGTGGAATAATGATCTAACACCACTTGTCTGTGGGTGTTGACCCCGCTGACCACTCCATCCTTTTCCAGAGTGTTTCCCCACTGGGTTTGAATAGCATGTCTTTCTCATCTTTTTCCTTATATTTCTTAGATTGATCAAACCCTTGAATTTCTTTTGACAGGTTCTTTGCTGTTCCCTGTATTTGGTCCTGTGCGATCTTTGCTTTCCACTTGAGATGCTATCTCTGTGTGATGCCATTCATTCCCGAGGCTTTGACCAACCCCCTCTCTGTGTCTTACATAGTTATCTCCCACATCTATGCCTTTAACCCTCATTGTTCCCTGAAACTCTAGTCTCAGGTTTTCACTTGCCTAGCAGATGGCCCCAGTTCGATTATTTCTAGATGCCCCATACTTGACCTGTCCTAATTATCTTTTCTTTCAGAACCTAGTACTTCTCTTGTCATTCCTGTCACACTGGATGGCATTCCTATCGATCCAGTCACCCCAACTGGCAGTATTAGAGTCATCGCAAATGCTTTGTTTTTATTATGTCCCACATTGAACTGTTTATCTTGTCTGGTCTTCTTGTTCTAGATATCTTTAAGGGCCTCTGTCCATTCCTGTTGTCATTGTCTTTGTCCAAATACCTTGACTTAGCATGCGAGGACTTTAGTGGTGCATAGCTCTTCCTGGCCAGATCTCACCACACCTTTTCCCAAGGCTCTGTAGCTTCAGCTGAGTTTGTTGTTGCTTTAACTCTCCATGCTGCTGTAGGCCTGATTTCTTTTATCATGGTCTGGTAGTAATCTCACTAAGCCTTCAATATTGCGCTCAAATGTGAAGCTTTCCTTTACCTGCCCAGTGTGAGGTGTTCTCTCCCCTGTGCTCCTCAAATGCTCAGTTCATGCCTCCAGTACAACAGCTATTCAGTTATGTAGTAATTTCCTCAGAGTAGAGATTGTTTATTAACCTTGGCCTCCCCTGTGCCCTAGCACAGGGCATCCAGCACATGGCAACTTAATTGTTGGATAATTTGGGCCACTGACTTGATGTGTACAAGAAGAATTTTTAAAATTCTAACAAAATCCTGAAACTGAAATAGTGACCCAGACATAAGCAATTTGCTTTGAAACGCTAAGCCAGTATTTTATTATGGTTTTGCTTCTGATTAAACATAACTATGTTTCCAAATTTCGCTCATATTTCTACATATTTATAGCATTACCCCAAATTTTCTTTTTCTTTTTTTTTTACTTCAGATTTTCTAAGGAGGAAATTTTATTACATTTTATATCATCAACTATGGCTGTTGCTATTTATTGGTGACTGAATTCAAAGGTCCATTTTGACCCCAGGGAATCCAGATTTTTCTAATCTCTCGTATTCTAATCTCGATCGTGATACATTTTTAGCCTAAACTACAAATAGCATTCATTTGAAGAAATGACATTTCCTTCTTCTTCTTTTTTTTTTATTATTATTATTATTATTTTTTTTTTAGAAACTGAATAACATCAATGATATCCTCAAGTCTGTATTCTTGATCTTCCCACACTTTTGCCTGGGACGGGGGCTCATCGACATGGTGAAAAATCAGGCAATGGCTGATGCTTTGGAAAGGTTTGGTGAGTGACAGCAGTGTCTGGAGGGTGCTTTCATGGAGGTCACAGTTTTCATGGGCCTTGGGACTCTGGGCTTTGATTTAGAGAGAGGCTGGTGACTGGGCATAGGACTTCGCCCCACTAAGTGCGTTCATGACAACGAAACTGGATGTGGCATGGGTCTTTTGAGGCAACATTTGTCTGTGCCTCAGATAGCATTGAGAGAAGTGAGAGGGCAATTTTGGAGGTAAGGAAAACACTGGCTTCATTTTGGACCCAATGCATAATACCCCTGGTTGGGTTTGTTAGTCATTGGAAAGGCACAACACAGTTTGAGAATTGGATATAGGTGAGAGAACCAGAAGGAAGGGTACAAACTTTGGCTCTGACTACTAGGGAAGTCATGGGCCTGCAGACTCTTACACAGTCTATAAAAAGGTAATTTATTGCAGCTCTTTGAATCTTTAGAGTTTTTAAAAATATTTCTCCTGTGGCCACATTACTGTTCTTTATCCACTAGCTCATATAGCTAGATGGGCCATGTTATTTAATGGACATAGATGAAGGACTATTTTTTCTTCCTTTTTAATTAGCAAGTGCACAGGAGATATTTAAGGAATGTAAGGAATATTCCCATAAAGCCAGCTTATTTAATTAGTTCACTAGGTTATATTATATGCTATTGGAAGGGACATCTTTTTAAAGTGCTCTCTAATCTTTAGTGAAACAGTTTGCTAAAATACCCTTAAAATTACCCTGGACTGTTTGCCTTTTTAAAAAGGATTTTTGGCATGTCTCATTAAAAAGGAAAGATACAAAATTAGAGAACTAATACAAGTTACTTCTGAAATCTGACTGATCATTGGGTCATAGTATATTTTCCCAACATGCTGCCCTAAATCAGACTTGGAAAGTAGTCACTCCCTTACTTTTTCCTCCTTGTCATAGACAAGAACCATTGGTGTTTCTAGGAATATAGATGAATTTGAGGAAGGGCCACGATCTTTGGTGCCTCCATTCTGATTGGATCTCTGCATTGTGTCTGCCAGGGGAGAATCGTTTTGTTTCACCACTGTCTTGGGACTTAGTGGGACGAAACCTCTTCGCCATGGCCGTGGAAGGGGTGGTATTCTTCCTCATCACTGTTCTGATCCAGTACAGATTCTTCATCAGGCCCAGGTGAGAATTTTCTCAGAACTCATGGAGCACCTGGTTGAGGCTCACAGAGGAACATGGGGAAGCACTGGTCAGTGGTGGTTGTTTTGGATTGAACTCAAGACATTCCAACTGATTTTCTTAATGTGGGCATCCTCTAGCCCACAGCACTGCTGATCCTAAAAACTACAGAGAGTATATTTTATAGGACTTTGTTAGAAATTGGGTCTTTGTCTTGAAAGATACCTTGAAAGGTTGATTTTTTTTTTCCTTAAAAATTTTCCCCCAAGACCTGTAAATGCAAAGCTTCCTCCTTTGAATGATGAGGATGAAGATGTGAAGCGGGAAAGACAGAGAATTCTTGATGGTGGAGGACAGAATGACATTTTGGAAATCAAGGAACTGACAAAGGTGAGACAGTGAGTTCAGGCTGTAACAACTTGTCTTCAATTGTTTTCAGCTTTTTTTGAAAATGGTCAGTTTTGCTGATTTGTTTAATAAAAAGAGCATGCTTCCCCAAATGTGTGCATCTATATCAAGTGACTATCTAGTATTTAATTGTATTTAAAATACACTGAGGGGACTTCTTAAAGAAATCCTGCTGAGAATATTTTGTAATATGAAGTGTTGTTCTCAAGTACATTTGTTTTTCATGCTTACACTTTTGTGTTTGTTATTAAAATGTACAAAAATTGTATATCCAGTCAAAGCTGAGGTAGGAAGAATAAATGGCTGATTTTGAGAGTCATAGTCTAAAACGCTGATCTATCTCCATTGCTCAGGGGAAAGGTTTGTTTCAGTCCATGGTAGGTGCCAGAATCCTAACAGTTCATTTTTTTGTAATATATACAAACAATATTTGCAGTGTGTCAATGATACATTTTTACCATGTACAGTTTAATTTTTAAAATATGTAGGATATCAGGTAAATGAAAAATTATATTTTAATGACTAATATGTCTTTTGAGAAGGTTGATATTAGGGGCACATGGGTGGCTCAGTGCTTAAGAGGACAACTCTTGATTTCAGCTCAGGTCATGTGAGATCAAGCCCCATGTTGGGCTCTACACTGACAGCAAGCATGGAGCTTGCTTGGGATTCTTTCTCTTCCCCTCTCTCTGCTCCTCCCTCACTTATGTGCATGTGCAGGCCTGCATGTTCTTTCTCAAGATAAACTTAAGGAGCACCTGGGTGGCTCAGTCAGTTAAGTTTTGGACTCCAGCTTAGGTCATGATCTCACAGTTCATGAGTTTGAACCCTACATTGTGCTCTCTGCTGACAGTGCAGAGCCTGCTTGGGATTCTCTCTCTCTCTCCCCCTCTCCCTCTGCCCATCCCCCTCAAAAATAAACTTTTAAAAACAGTAAAAAAAAAAAAAAAAGGTTGCTATTAAATTAAAAATAAAAAGAAATTCACTTTTTTTTTTTTGAGCTTCAAAGTCCTTCAGAAGCCTGTTGCTGCAGAGACAGACCAAGGCTCTTAGCATATCAAATATGTGACTTAGTTTTATCGATGAGTCTTATTTCATGTGTATTTGGGTTATAATTCCCTCTTCCACAGTTGCTTGGGATAGCTGTGACTCACCATGGCTCATGAATGTGTGCACTTTGTCGGTTGCAGATCTACAGAAGAAAGAGGAAGCCTGCTGTTGACAGGATCTGTGTTGGCATTCCTCCTGGCGAGGTAAAGGCACTTGATCTACACTTTTCTTGTCCCTATTAATTCCAACTGTCTACCCAATCAAACAACGATGTCTGGAAAGGTAAAAGGCTTCTCTATTCATGTCTATATGGAGCAGTCAGTCATTGAGAAGATGGGGATTCCATATGTCAAAAGGCAATTATTTGGGATAAAAGGCAATTTTAGAAAAGAACGCACATGGGGTGCCTGAGTGGCTCAGTCAGTGAAGCGTCAACCATTGGCTCAGGTCATGATTTCATGGTTAGTGAGTTCGAGCCCTGCATGGGGCTCTGTGCTGACAGTTCAGAGCCTGGAGCCTGCTTCGGATTCTGTGTCTCCGTCTCTCTCTGATATTCCCCTGCTCATGCTCTTGCGTGTGCACGCTCCCTCTGTCTCTCTCTCAAGAATAAATATTTAAAATAAATTTTTTTATTAAAAAAAAAGAACACATGTCTCAAGTGGGACTTTGTGATCCATTCAAGATGGTGAAATTCAAATAGATTTTTTTAAAGTTGGTTTTTTCTTTATTCATGTTTGTGTTCTTTTCTGCCCTTTAGCCAGATTAGATGGTGAAATGTGATTGGTAGGCTTTCATTACTGTTTTTTACACATGAGCTTTGGTTTCAACCTCATGACTCAAATAATATTTACAAATATGCTCAATATATCTCATTATTATATTTAAATATCTATATAAGTTCTTAAAATCAGAAAAAAATTGACTCTTCATCGATATTTAAGAATGATGTTTTAGAATCATGTTATCTGAAAACCCAGCCGAGGTGACTGCTTTATAAGGCTGATTTATATTCATATTTTTAGTAGTTTGCTTATACGGCTTACCCAATCTTTTTCAGTGCTTTGGACTTCTGGGAGTTAATGGGGCTGGGAAGTCATCAACTTTCAAGATGTTAACTGGAGATACTACAGTTACCAGAGGAGATGCTTTCCTTAACAAAAATAGGTGAGAAAAGATGTAGACTGTATTTTGCCACAAAAACTTTTTTTTTTACCTTATTTAAATAAATATATTTTAATTTTTTGGATTGTAACAGTACTACATAGTTTATAAAAATGTTGAAATATAAAAGTTTAAAGAAGATAAAAATCATCAATAATCCCACTACCTAGTGATAACTACTATTTACATTTTTTCAATCCCCATGTTTTTATTTAATAGTTTATTGTGTCAAGTTGGTTTCCATATAACACCCTGTGCTCATCACAAGTGCCCTCCTCCCTGCCCATCACCCCTCTTCCCCTCCCCCCATCCCTATCAGCCCTCAGTTTGTTCTCAGCATTCAAGAGTCTCTCACCGTTTGCCTCCCTCCCTCTCCCCAACTATTTTCCCCTTCTTCTCCTGCGTGGTTCTCTGTTAAGTTCCTCCTAATCCACCTATATGTGCAAACATCCCATATGTTTTTTTTTTTTTAACACCTTTCTTCAGGTGTAATTTATATCCCATGTAGTTTACCTGGCCTAAGAGTACAACTGAATGATTTCTAGTCAGTTTGCAAGATTGTGCACTCATAACCACAATCCAGTTTTAGAACATTCCCATCAGCCCAAATCTATGTTATATATACATATAAATATATTATAAAATTGAGATCATCCTGTATCTAGATTTTTAAAATTAGTTTCCTGTTAATGAGTGCACTATGGATAGTTCCCAATGGGTTACATATCCTAAGATGTAGACTACATTGCTACATAAATGCCCTTCTGTACATTTATCTATAGTTTATTTAATCAATTCCTTATTGCTGGACATTTATTGGCTTCTGTTGTTCATTATGTAAATGTGTCCTTGTAGTCATCTTGTATTTCCTCAGGGAAAATTGCTACAAGGTGAAAGGGTGTATACTTGCCAAATTGCCCTCCCCAAAGGGTTTATCAATTATTGAGGCCACATTAAGCCATTTTCTGAGAATGCACAGGTGACTAAGTGGTCTTTAGTGGGTACACCTCCACTTTAGAGACCAATTAGGCAATGTTACCCTTGAATACTCTAAATATGGGTGGCTTCTCTGGGCTTTTTATACGGAGAGATGGTAAAAGACCGTCACTTTTGAACTTTTCTGACCATGATCCAAAGTAGCGAATACAGTTACCTCTCAACCTAATAAATACCTAAAAATACATAAATAGGTATATCTTTAAAAGAAAACTGGCCGTGGCCCACTAAGTATTTTGTGACCCACTAATGGATGATGACTCACAATTTGGGAATAATGGATAGGGGGCTACAAGCCCATAAAATTGAAAAGAGCAAGGGACTAATGTACTCATAGGTCCCTTCTTCTGTCTCATCCAGTTATTTTAGTAGCAGAATAAAGGAGGTTTAAGAGAACTGAAATTCTGGAATAGTAGGCCTAAGGCTACACACCTGCTTCCCCAGGCTTTTAGTCCTAGTACCAGCCTCCTTGGACATAAAACAATGTCAGCAATAACAGGCCCAAACTAAGATTTGTCACAGTAACTGGTTATAAGAGCTGGCTGGGGCAGTGTTGCTGTGAGGGCCCAACATCATGTGTGTGGACACCTCAGTCATAATTCTGGAAAAGGCTGGCCCTGGGAATATTAAACTGATCTGCAAAGAGGAACAAATATTGCTGAAAGGTCAAAAGCAGACACTCTCCAGACATGGCTGATGTGCAGCCATCAGACTGGATGAGGCCTGAGCTTCTCCCACATCAAGGATTCTTTACCTGAGCTTGGCTTCATGGGGCCCAAAAGCAGTTTCTGCCAATATATGTAAAGTTGGATCCATAGGTATATATATATATGTGTGTGTGTGTATATATAGTCATCAGATTTTCAGAGAGTCTGTGATAAAACAACAACAACAAAAGACCCCCAAAACAAAACCCTTAAAAACCAGAAGGGTGCCCACATTGGGTATATAGTGGGACCAGGGAGTCTGGACCATGTTGTGGCTGAGTCAATGTAGAACAGCAGATAGTAGAGGAAGGGAGGTTACACCCAGAGTTGCTCGGCCTCCTCTGGGTCTGAATGGCCATGAAGGACACTTTCAAGTAACAGAGTACTTTGTACATACGACTGGAACACAGAAGTCAAGTCTGGGATGGATACTTAGTGCTGAAGTCCTGGGGACCTATGAGTGAGGTTGTTGGTAAAGATATCACTGCAGTTGGGATAGACTTGGGGATCTTGAAATGGGACTGAGCCTGCGGATTGAGGTGTTGGGAGAGCCAGGTGCGAGTGGGCAGAACAGAGGTAGGAATCCTGACTGCCAGGAGGGGCTGGCATCCTTCAAGCTATAGCAGTTGTGCTCACTGGTTATTGTTGTCACATATGAGCATACTTTATAGGAACATTGGGCAAGATTATCTGATCAGAGTATCTCTAGATGCTTAAAACCTGACCAGTTTTTTCTTTGCAGTATTTTATCAAACATCCATGAAGTACATCAGAACATGGGCTATTGCCCTCAGTTTGATGCCATCACGGAGCTACTGACTGGAAGAGAGCATGTGGAGTTCTTTGCCCTCTTGAGAGGAGTCCCAGAGAAAGAAGTTGGGAAGGTACTGTGAGCACCAGAAAGCCAGCCTGTCCTCTTTGCTGGCAAACAGTAGACCTTATGTCTTTGACTTTCACAAATGACCATTGGTTTCAGGGTCTTCTTACTCATGGATGCAACAATGAAATGCTGGCTCTTGGCCCCTACTTACAGGGTGGGAATCCATGGTGATGGTGGGGTAAGGGTGACTGGCAGGCACATGACGGAGGGCAGAGAGGAAGTGCTGTTCCCACCCACACGAATCCCTTCCCCCTGCTTTTTGGCTCCCTGGCACTTGCTAGGTCATGATTAGAGAATCTACTCAGTGAAAAGAATTTTTCTAGTCTTACTCAGTAAAGAAACGTGACATATAAGGAAGCATGATAAAATTAACAAAGCAGACATGAGTCAAGGTGCTTTTCATTACTCTAGGTTGGTGAATGGGCAATTAGAAAACTGGGCCTGGTGAAGTATGGAGAAAAATACGCTGGTAACTATAGTGGAGGCAACAAACGCAAGCTGTCAACAGCCATGGCTTTGATCGGTGGGCCTCCTGTAGTGTTTCTGGTGAGTAGAACTGTGAATGGAAAACTATTTTGGCCTGAATGGAGAACATCACTTTTTCTAAAGTCCTGTATATCCAGGGATATTGCCTGATTAGCTTGGCTAATTGCAATATCCTTCTTCCAACCAGAAACAGCAAAGTGGCCTTAGAAAATCAGAGGGAAGTTTTTTTGATACACACTGGGGTGGTTTTGCTATGCCCTCACATGCTCCAAAAGAGAGATGCCCCAGGGACCTTGTTTCTCTGGTGTGGAGAACCCTGACAGGTGTGGTTAAGTCTTGGATATGTGATTTGACCTTTCTGTGGAACATTCTTTCTGACCATCTATGTGTTCATCCCCTGTAGATGGAGATTATGGTTTCAAGATCCCCAAGGTGGCACCTGGGTAATAGTGCTTACACACAGATAGATGGAAAACAGAACATTAGACTGGACAGTGGCCCATGACCCTTTTTTTCTGCATTGAAGTTATTACAGAAAGAAGCCTTGGGTGAAGGCTTTCATGTTATCCAGGTCATTTGGATCTGTAGTCTGTTTCTCTAAGACTAGCAAATACTACATAACAGACTAAGCTGGAGTGAGTTGGAATAAAAAAAGAAGAAAAGTAATTTTGCCAAAGCCTTATCCAGACTTCAATAGAGATTTTAGAGAAAAAGGAATTTTTAGTGTATACTTGTCAGTCATAAAAAGACGATTGAAACTAAATAGGTTTTTCCTTTCCCTTTGTATTTATTTGGAGAAATTTAATTTTATAAAAAAAATTGGGTTTCCTACTTTGATGACATATTTATAAGAGTGAACTGGTTACAAACAAGCATGCAGTTTATTCTGGTATGTAAGGTCTGGTTCTTTGGTCCAACAAGAAAGAGCCTAAACTTTAACTTGGCATTCTCGTTATTTCAAAGATGCTTCTGCACTTCAAAACAAATCTATATTTGATGTGTTTTCCACAAATAACAGGATTTATTTTATTCTGATCACAGGATGAACCTACCACAGGCATGGATCCCAAAGCCCGGAGATTTCTGTGGAATTGTGCCTTAAGTATTGTCAAGGAAGGGAGATCAGTAGTGCTTACATCCCATAGGTCAGTAGCAAAGACTTGGCTTGGCATCCGTGTTGTGTAATTTAAAAATTTTCCAAATAGTGGATGTGATCATGGAATAAAAATTAGAAAATATAGAAAGGCAAAGAGAAAAACAGTGACAATTACCAGAAATTGCCTCACTAGAAGATAACTGCTATCATTAAGCTATATATATCTTTGCAGTTTTCCTTTGCAAATCTCTACGTGTGTGTGTGTGTGTGTGTGTGTGTGTGTGTATCTTTACGAGCAGAAATGCAAGCTTTGTATAGATACTGTTCTTTTTCACTTAATATTTTGTAAACATTATTTCAAGTCAGTACATATAGATGTGTCATCCTTTCTCATAGCTATAAGTTGAAGTATTCCGATAGGCTATGCCCTAATTTATTTAACTGTTCCTCTTTTTGTAGACATTTTGACTGTGTGCATTTTTTTTTATCTCTACATCTTCATATATTTGTAATAGGATGCAATTATGCCCTAGGTAGCTGGGAATCTATTTCTTTGAAATTCCTGAGGTCCTATCATGTCCTGATGGTTAGGGGAGCACCTTTCTAAAACAAAAATCTGTGTTCCCACAGTATGGAAGAATGTGAAGCTCTGTGCACTAGGATGGCAATTATGGTGAATGGGAGGTTCCGGTGTCTTGGCAGTGTCCAACATCTGAAAAATAGGTAACAAAGACCATTTCCTTGGGATGACACCTACTGAGAAAGCTGGCATTTATTCTTTTTGTGAGCATATACATGGTGGCTCTAAAATAAAGGGAAATAAACAGAACAAAAGGGTGTAGTGGAAAGAATGAGGGCTTTGAAGTCCAACAGCGCTGCATTCAAACTCTGTCTTTACCTTTCACTGGTGTGTGCCCTTGCATAAATTCCTTCACCTTGCTGAGAGCCTGTCTCCCAGGAATATCTACCTTCTGGCCTCGTGAAGCACATAAAATCAGAAATTTTACACGTGCCGTATGGTTAGAACATAAGCTTTGGACTCCAACACAAATGAGTCCACATCCTGTACCAGAGGCAAATGACTAACTTCAGTTTCTCTGTAGCATCTGTCAGACTTATGTCCAGGTGAAGATTCAGTGAAATCATGTGTCTAAGGCACTCGGCATGGCACCAGAATAGGTAGTCAGTAATCGGTAACTAGTTCCTTCTCTCAGATACTTATTTCTGGGTCTGTTGTGGATCTTCCTGTCTCATGGCACAATAGGGTAGGGTTAAATATTCTTTTGAGAGGTTTCCTGAGGATCTTCCATTTGAGGTTTGTTTGTTTTTTTCCCCTCCTGCTTTCAGGTTTGGAGATGGTTATACAATAGTTGTACGAATAGCAGGGTCCAACCCTGATCTGAAGCCTGTCCAGGAATTCTTTGGACTTGCCTTTCCTGGAAGTGTCCTCAAAGAGAAGCACCGGAACATGCTCCAGTACCAGCTTCCATCCTCATTATCTTCCCTGGCTAGGATATTCAGCATCCTTTCCCAGAGCAAAAAGCGACTCCACATAGAAGACTACTCTGTTTCTCAGACAACACTTGACCAAGTAAGCTATAAATGTCAAAAGTAGCTGGCTTTTTAGGGTAAGGATTCCTGATCCCTGTCCCCCACTCTCATTTTGGATCCTGGAGCAGTTTTGACCATCTGAGCTTGAATTTCTGATCTACCAGCTATGCTTATTACTAACTGCTCTGAATGTGAAAAGGGAGACGATTCTATCTACATTAGAAGGTTATTGTGAGCATAGTAATAATAATCGCAATAACTATCATTTTTTGAGTCCCTGCCATAGGCCAGGCCTTTTGCCAGGTGACTTGTCCCATTTAAATTAGGTAACATCGGGGGCACCTGGGTGGTTCATCTCGGATCAGATCATGATCTCACAGTTGTGAGATTGAGCCCCATGGCAGGCTCTGCACTGGACATGGAGCCTGCTTAAGATTCTCTTTCCTCCCTTCTTCCCTCCCCCCTCCCCCTTCCTTCTCTCCCATCCCTTCCCCTCTCATAAATGAATAAACAAATGAATAAAGATTGAATGAATACATAAATATTTAGGTTAGATAACCTCAGGTACCAGATTCTTGCACTTAGTAGCTATTTAGTAAATGTTAGATTTTGTCTTTCTTCCCTTTATTAAAATGTTTTGTTTTTAAAATTTTTTTAATGTTTATCCCTTTTTGAGAGATGGAGAGAGACAGAACATGAGTGGGGGAAGGGCAGAGAGAGGGAGACACAGAATCAGAAGCAAGCTCCAGGCTCTGAGCTGTTAGCACAGAGCCCAATGCAGGGCTCAAACCCACGAACCATGAGATCATGACCTGAGCTGAAGTCAGACACCTAACCGACTGAGCCACGCAGGTGCTCCTGTCCCTCTGTCCTTTTTAATCTGGCCTATATGAGTCAAAATAGATGAATGAGCAGATGGTGATTTGAGGGGCAATAGAAAGTTCAATTTTTAAATGTTTTAATGCTTTTTTTCAATTATCCCCTCTCCCTCTCACAGTTTTCTTGTTAATCTATTTATGCAATCTTGTATTCCCTTACCCTACTTTCCACATGGTGAAAATACAACTGGGATAAAGAAAAAGCAAGTAGAGAGTTATTTATAAAGGTCCATCTTTCTTTTGACAGGTATTTGTAAACTTCGCCAAGGACCAAAGTGATGATGACCACTTAAAGGACTTGTCATTACACAAAAACCAGACAGTAGTGGATGTTGCAGTTCTCACATCTTTTCTCCAGGATGATAAAGTGAAAGAAAGTTATGTATGAAGAATAGTGTTCATGCAGGATGACTGAAAGAAAGGAGGAACTGGCCCTCCCTTTGCACCATGTGAAGTGTTCCAAAAGAAAGAGCTGATGTGTTTGCAGGAAGAAGTAAACTGGATACTGTACTGATACTATCTTCAATGCAATGCAATTCAATGCAATGAAAACAAAATTCCATTACAGGGGCAGTGCCTTTGTAGCCTATGTCTTGTATGGCTCTCAAGTGAAAAAGACTTGAATTTAGTTTATTACTTTATAACTATGTGAAACTCTAGTATGGAACCCAGCGGACATATGGGTTTGAAGTCACACTTTTTTTTTGTTCCTTTGTATTCTCACTGGGGTTGCAACAATAATTCATCAAGTAATTATGGCCAGAGATTATCAAAATCAAAAGGCATGTACACCTTCATTCATTAAGCTGTGCCATGCCAGGAGACTGGTTTCCCAGTGACACATCCATTGCTGGCAATGAGTGTGCCAGAATTACTAGTGCCAAGTTGCTCAGAAAGCCTGAAGGACCATGGTGTGTCATGCACCCTTTTGTGAAAGCTGCTCTGCTTCAGAGTCTATCAGCATCATAATCAGGTGACAAAATGGTGCCATGTGTGGGAGAGGCCTGCACTGATTCCATGATGAGCTGCTCTGGTGGTGGTAACATGCAAGTTGTGGGTGGCTCAAGACAGGTGAGGCTTGGTTCCATTCTTGTGTTGTCCCTTGCTTGGAGCCATGGAGTCATTTTTCTGGGACTTTTAAAATAAACTTAGATCCTGGAAAGAGGTGAAGAGCAGCCAAGTTGTTGAGGCTGCAAGCTGCTCAGGCCAGGTCATGGGAGTAGAGATGGCGTGTTCACACCTAGAGAGGCCTGTGTCCATTTGTCCTGGTTGTCTGCTAACACGGTACATTGCATCTCAAGTTCTTCCTGTTTGACCTAAGTGTAGTATTTCTGGCTTTTTAAGTTAATCTAGAATATTAAAAGATGGAATTGTATTTTGACAAAAGTCTTTGTGCTTTTAATGTTATTTGGAATTTTAAGTTCTGTCAGTGACTTGTGAATCCTTGGACTGGCCTCTTTGTAGAACCCATGGCATAGAGGAATATGGCCTCACTGCCTCACTAGCCATTTCTCATGGAAGCCTGCAGATGGATCCTCTGACTAGTACCTAGTGACTAGAAAACAATGTGATGGTCAAAATCTCATGACAATATTATATTTGAGTTTAAGGTCGTCATTTAAAATACTCTTAATCTCAGTTTAAGTATTTTTTGAGTGTGTATTATAGCTGAATTGAGCGTGTATGTATGGATTGGGTGGGGAAAAATTAAGTCTCAGTAGATAATCCTGTGCCACGGTCTTCAGCTAACAGGTTTACAAATACAGGTTGTTTTGTTGCATTGGGGGCCCAGTGAAGGAATACTGGGCAGCCCCCCCCCCTTTTTTTTTTAAATAGCAACAGTGCAAAAGCCAAAAGAGTTTAACTGTCATTAGGGTCACAAAACTAATGAGTACTTTCACAAAGAAGATCACTAGCTTCAAAACTTGTTGCGTAAAACATCTTGTGCTTAAGGTATATAGTACCTTCAAATAATTGGCTTTGAAGATCTTAGACACCGCATTCTGACAATCTCAAAATTTTCATCTCTTCAGTCCTGAGATAATCATGAAAAAAATAACGCAAATGCTCCCACATGGAATATTTCAGACTTTTCTGACCCAGTCTTTTTTTTTTTTTTTTTTGGTCAGTAAACATTAAAAAAAAATTATTTGACCAATGCTTAATGTGATCTGCCTTAAGACAACAAAAATATGAGGAAGTACTGTTGGGTGAATAGGCTGTCTTTCATTGTCATTTCTGATTTCTTCTTTTTCTAAAATATAAATATTAACTCTAAAGGTGTAAGATTTCAGATCTATTTCAAATCTATATTTTTTAAAATTTACAGAAAGTTACCACATAACTTGTTTGGAAAAAGAAAATGACTTAGAAATTAGTGTCAATATTTTCTAAAATGATAAACAGGTAATAGAGGATATTCCAGTAACTATTGGCATGATGAGGTCATTATATTTTGTGCTATCTCTAATGACCTAAAATTCATAGAGTAATTTACTTTCTCCTTGTTTACTCTTTTTCAAAATCAAACTTCTGTTAGTTTTCCCAGTTCACTAGCATCATATTCTAATTCCCTATTAAATCATTGAGTAGCTCTTGGCTTTAATTACTCTGACTTCAAGGCCATATTTAAAAAAAATCAAAAGACACTGTGAACTGTTCTGAAAAAAAAAAAAAACCATTTCAATATAGATTTTAAAAAGATCTCTTCTGAAGCTAGGAACAATCTATAGTTACACACTGACTTTGTGGTTGCTTTTTAGACTATGCATATAGTAATCTTTTACATTTTCCTGTGTAAACCTAATCATAGAAATTTTTACCAATTCTCTACTCAAGTAAAATTCTATATATATTCCCTGTGGAAATGTAAGTATGTGCCGTTCAAAAATTCTCAAAAAAAGTGTTCAAAGATTGCTGCTTTTGCTTCTTTTGGACACCTTGGAAACTTTATTAACAACTGTGAATATGAAAAATACGAAAGAAAACAGTAACAAAGCCCTCTCTACATAAACATCCAGCACAGTTCATTGTTAAAAACAGCCAAACCTCAAACTACTGTATTTCAATATCTGTACTGAAAGCGTGTGCATTGTGACTATTATATGTTGCACGTCTTTCATTCACTGTAATCATTGATGAAAGGGATTTGTCTGTTTTCTTCTTGTGGTTGTATATATCAGGTAAATTTTCTTCCAAAGAGCCATGTGTCCTATATAATATTGAACCACTTTGATATGAAGATATTTGTACCCTTATAACAATTTACTAGTCATGATATAGTACTACAGTAAGATAGCTCTAATTCTCTTCAAAATTGTTGCATCCCTTTTATAGAATGTTTTTATTCCCATAAGGATTAAGTTTTCTCTTTCTTATAACCTAGGATGAAGCTATTTTTGTGTGTGTGTGCTTTTTCTTTATCATTGGCCCCTTCATTCTGAGCACTTTATGCTGTCTGTAATGGGATCTATTTTTGCACTGGAATACCTGAGAATTGCAAAACTAGACAAAAGTTTCACAACAGATTTCTAAGTTAAATCATTTTCATTAAAAGGAAAAAAAGAAAAAAATTTTGTATGTCAATAACTTTATATGAAGTATTAAGAAAACATATTTCTATGTTGTAATGAGTCACGAAATAAAGCTGTGGCAGTTCTGCTGGTCTATGCAAATTTATTTCCATGCAACCATAGCACCACCTACTGTTGACGCTTATAAAGCCATTAGGAGAGTAAGAAATAACCGCCTCTAGTGGGGAAGCTATCTAGTAGAAAAGCTATGTAATAATAGCCTGTAGTAGAAAAGGCTAAATGTCCTGTTACAAAAGAGGGCTGGGGGGACTACTTGGAAATAAAAGAAAGGGTGTTTGCTCTTTCATAATTCAGTTAAGATCAGTAAATATTAAGAGGTTTTTAGATAAAACTCAGCTTAATGATTTTGAAGCTATAGAGATCTCTGAAAATACTGTGCAGCTAAGCCTATTTAATAAAAATCTCACTGCTTTATTTGGCATAGTAGCTACAAAAGCTGCCTTCAGTTGCTCTTTGCTGATTCAACTGAAAATACAAGGATAGAGCGTGGCAAGCGTCCTGGAAAGGTGTTGGGTATGTGGCCTGGGGGGGGGCATGCAGAAATGTGGAAATAGTAGAGGAATACCGGAGGTGCCTGTCTTCTGTAAGAAATGCTGTGCAATCACAAGGCAAGGCAAGGCTCTGATGAGACACATGGATGTAGTTTTCATAGCTCACTAGCAAAGTCTCAGAAAAGTTGTTTGCTTATCTCGCTATGTGAAGAACCTCCGTCAAACACCCCCGGTAGGCTGCACAGTGGACTCATGGCTCTGTGTGGGACTGCCTCTGAATGGCCGGGATAATGGGTAGTGAGCAGTTCTTTGCTGATGTTCATGTCTGACTGTGTGCCAAGGGTCTTGGTTTATGATGGAGCCTTCTAGGCCACTCAGTCTCTGCATCCCAGCTCTGTCTTTCCCTCTTAAATGTTCACATTACCACTTCAGTGAAATGCTAGAAAACTGTTTCTTTGTGGAAAATGACCACTAAAGGAGAGAAGAAAACTACTGAAAAATGAAAAGGCAAGTAATTTAGATAATGTAAATAACGCGTGAGTCTTGAGGAAAACCATCTATTTAGAGAAAAGCCTAAATAAACATTTGAAGGTTCAAAAAAAACCTTGGAACCTTTAAAATGTTAGTGCATATATTAAGCATGAAAAAGTATAAGAAAATTAGCTACGTTTTTCCAGTGTTTTACTGTATTGTGAGGTACTTCGTGTAGTCCTTAATTACCTGTCTGCCCTTTATGGTGTAGTCAATACCATTTGATATGTGAGGAAATTGTGGCTCAGTAGATAAAGAACTTGTTTAGACCACTATTAAAATGGCAGAGGGTTCTTTCTGGTGAGATGGGGTATCAGTTAAAACTGCTGTCATAACAGTCTGGAATCCTACAGTAATTTAACAAATATTGAACTCTATGTACCATATACTTTTCTAGATTCTGAGGATGTAGTGTTGAAGACAGAATTCCTGCTCTAATGAACTAAAATTTCAGTGGGGAAATTCTATTCGCATTCACGATAGTGTGTAGACAAATATAATAAATTCAGACTATAGTTAAGTGCTTAGAACAAAATGAGCCATGGCAATGAGATAATGATGGAGAGGCAGCCGTCTGAAGAGTGATATTTAAGCTCAGATCTGATAAAATAAGCAGGAGCCAACATTTGAAGGTGGGTACAGAGAACATTCCTGGATGAAGGAACACCTGGTGGCAAAGGCCCTGGGAAGAAACTTGGCAAGCTGGGAAAGGAGGGAGAGAATTCCAGTGTGTCCAGAGTGGTAGATGGGGCAGAAAGCAGGACCTGTAGCGCCTTGCAGGCCATGTTAAGGTATCTGGATTTTATTGTTAGTGCAACGAGGAGCCACTGGAGAGTTTTAAACAAGGTAGTAGTTTTAACTAATCAGTGTTTCAGAAAAATGCTGGTGTGTATGGGGAGAAATGATAGTAGGGAGGCAAAGAGACATTGGGAGGGATAGGAATGTTCAGAATCTCTTTTATAGACAGAGCCAAAGGCACTGTTGACAAGCTTTATGTGGGGGTTGAGGGAGAGAGAGCTATCAAGGTGATTTGTAGTTTGTGACCCAAACTAGGTAGGTGGTTGTGTTAAAATATGGTTGCTATTTCAGTCTGGTGCTCAGGAACAAATGGGAGAGAAGATAAAAATGTGTGAGACATCAGCACAGTACATGTATTTAAGCCTTGGGACTGAATGATCTGACCTATAGAGAAAATTGAGACAGACTATTCCTGAGCCCTGAGATCCTACCCACATTTAGAGAGAAGCCAGCAAGGGAACAGGAAGCGGCCAGTGAGGAGGAAAACCTGAGTATGATGCCATATACTGAAGCTCAGACAGAATCCAGTGTTTCAGGAAGGCAAAGGTCTTCAGTTGTGTCCAACACTGCAGAGAAGATGAGCAAGGTAAAGGCACAGGAAAGGATTGAATTTGGTAACACAGAGGTCTTCAGTGACCCTCTGTAGGTCATTTCAGTAGATTGACAAGGATCAGGTTGAGGGAAGAACAAGAGTGAAGAGGGTGAATATACATCTCACTCTATGGAGAGCTCTGCTTTAACAGGAAGCAGAAAACATGACAACAGATCACAAAGCTTTTATTTGGATTTCTGTCTGTTAATAGTATAGGCTGCACCTGAACACCATCTCCCCTCTCCTTTCAATTTTTTGGTTTTAATCCTTTAGACATTTATTCTATTAAGAGTCTTAAAATGTACTTGCTTTGTAAATTTCCCTTAAGACAGCTAATTCATGATTTACTATTTTATATTCACAATATGTTTTAGAAACAACATAGCTCTAAATGTGGACTATCAAGAGATTTTGGAAGTACCTAGTTTTAGAGTGCAGATGCACTCAACTAAAATGGAATTAAAGGTGCTTTAAGGAAAACTCTAGCCTATCTGTGGTGGTACTGAAAACTTTCCTTCTGGGATTATTACCAGGCTATTTTATTGATATAAATTAATATTTACAATAAAATTAAAATTATTACTGTGTCACTACTGTATAGCAACATCGTAAAAGCTCTAGAGAAGAGAATGTAAATACAAAACACAAATAAAACCCTGCAGAATGGATATGTAGGCTTTTATTCAGGCAACCATTCCCATAACCAAAAAGATCTCTTTAAAACAAAGAGTTGTCCCAAGTATCTTTGTTAGTGATCCAAAATGAACAAAAATTAACTATAAATGAACACATTTCAGCACATAAAAAAAAGTCTTCTGAAGTTTTTAAACACTGAGAACTAATTACATTATATTCCGAGTTAGAGCGACTCATAATGTGAAAACCATAATTAATACAGATGACACAGTGACACTGTACTTTGTCAAGGCAAAGAAATCTATTTGACCTTAGATTCTTAGGAATCCCATTTGATTACAAAATAAACTTTACTGGGCAAAAAAGATTTTAAAGCTAAAAAATAGGATGAAAAGATATTATATACAAATAATTTAAAAATATCAGATACAGAAATGTAAAATCATCAACTGAATTTAAGAAAGTGCTATAAAAGCAGAGGTTTGTCAAGATAGAGTATAAGGGATATTCAGAAACAAATGAAAAATCAATATCCTCAAGTAGTTACGGCAAGCATTTCTAACGTGTAACAGACACAGAAATGCCAAGGGGAAAATGAACTATTTCCTGAGGTGGGAGGGAACAGAGGAAGGGGGGAAGAGGTGGCTTTAAAAGTGCAGAGACCTAGCAAATTCACTTACCACCTTCCAAAGAAAAGTGAGAATCTCTTAGGAGAATTTAAGCACCATTAGCAGACACATCTTACAGCAGTTAATGCAATGCTTCGTCTTTCAGTGGATAACTATTTCAAAGGTGAAAATGACGTAGGAAGCAGAAACATATTCTGCTGAGACACGAGGTAATTGACACTCTCCCGAACTGGAAAAAAGCATTTCATAAGAAGGCATATAAAGTTATTGACTAAATGAGATTTGCTGTACTAATAATTCATGCCTAGTGAAATAGCTCACCAGCTGCCACAACTCTGGGATCCTCATGAGATTGGTGTCTCCCAGCTGCACGACTGTCTGCACTCTCATTCCACCAAAGAACATGAACTGCAGAAATAACCAAAAATAGATTCTAAAGGCTATGGCATTACTACAAGTAAGAAATACAGAAAAATTAATCAGAAACATTAAGTCTTATTCTTTAAATCAAAATAGTGAATATCAAAAAGGTAAAATTAAATATGTTAGTAAGATTTCAGAAGGGTCAGGGATTTGGGAGAGAAATTTATAAATCAATCAAACTGGTTTTATAGCTGAGGAAACAGATGTCTGGAGAGAAAAAGTAAGTAATAGCATTAAAGACACAATCAAGGCTGGACCCAAGTTTTATGATGTCCTACTGTGTTCTATTTTATTTACAAAAAAAAAAAAGCAAGATTATAAAAAAATGTGTACTACAAAAATTTGGATGATACAAAAAAAATTAAAAGCATAATTTGGGGGTACCTGGGTAGGTCAGTCACCTGAACATCTGACTCTTGACTTCAGCTCAGGTCATGATCTTACAGTCATGAGATAGAGCCCATGTTGGGCTCTGTGCTGAGTGTGGAGCCTGCTTAAGATTGCTTAAGATTTTCTCTCTCCCTCTGCCCCTCTCCCCCACTCCCTTGTGGTCTCTTTCTCTCTCTCCCTAAAATAAAATTTAAAAAATAAATAAAACTAGCATAATTTTTAACTACTCAGAGAAAACCTCTATTAATATTTAGTGTATTTCTTTAAAAAATTAGTAAAATCAAATTAGGGTCTTACTGTATACTATGCTTAGGAGTATTTTTAAAAATCAACAATGTATATTTTCCATGGTAGTAACCTTAATTTTTAATGGCTCTGTGAATTCCTGCTTGTGACAATTTTTTTATCCCAGTCCCTTATTGTTGATTATTTACATTATTCAAAATATTTCAGGATTCTACAGAATACTGAAATTTTTTTATAACTAAATGTAATTCACATTAGCTGTATAGATTTTGGAAAATGGAGATAAAAAGAAAGTAGGAATTATTTCTAATCCTACCACCCTAAAATAACCAT